TGTGCTGTGTACCCAATGACCTTGAGCTCTCTGTGCTGGGCCCTCAGCTGGTGACCGAGTAATGGCAGTGTAGTATGGCCTGGCTCACCTGTAGCAGTCAGTGGGGGTCTTGTGGATCTCCTTGCACCCCCTGTCCACTGGGAGACTGGGTTTACTCATGGGGAGGACTCAGATCCCAAGTGCAGCAGGAGCCAAGCCCTCCTAAGCACTGTCTTGACCTTGCCTGAACTCCACACACCAATGCCCCCTGGTCCCCGGCACACCCATGGCACTGCAGTGGGCAGGAAGGGCCGTGGCCCCTTTGCCTTTGGCTACGTTTCCATCACAATGCTGCTGTCCAGTCACAAGGGCCTCCCAGGGCATCTGTTGTGAGGTCAGCCATGTCCGTAAGTGAACATGTGGGTGGTGGCTGAGAGTCTGCCACACATTCCAGATGTTAGAAATATCTTTAAGATATTGGGTGTCACAAGAGAGAGACACCGCAATTCAGAAGTCAACAGGCAAGGCAAAATATACTTCTGCAGAAGGGCGCACCACAGACAAAGAGCAAGCACACCCTGCCAGGAGTCCGCTGGGGTTTTGTCTCTAGTGCAATGCTGCCCCTCCCTTGGATCGGGCAGGTTTTGGACTCACGGTCTGCATGGTTGGCTAATTGGAAAGAGGACATCGGGAGGGGCTTTGGAGACAAAGAAGTTTAAAAGTTCAGAGAAGCAATAACTGTTTAGGTTATCAGCTCTGGAACCAGGACATCTAGCAGAATTCTTGCCTCGCTGAGGATGACAACCCTTCGTTCTTAATAGAAACTTTTGTCACATTAAGCAGTCCGTGAAGGCACTGTATGGGAAGCGAGTTAGTGAGACTGACATTTGTAACAGTGGTGGTTACTGAGTAAATCCTTTCACAGAAAAGCCCCCACCTAAGCTGATTCCCACACAGGTAAAGCCATATTTTCCTGGAGGTGACCATACCCACCCACCAGCCTGCAGTGGAGACCCTGTCCCATGTCACCACCATTCTCACATCACCCTGGCCTGACCTGATTCGCATCTGCCCAACGGCCTGTGAGGCTGAGCGGCCACTAATGCAGATGAACTATTTCTTTCCTCTTCTGGGGAGTTCCTGCTTCCATTTCCATCCCTTTATTTACAAGTAACTGGCTGTGAAAGCGTGTGCATGTGTGTGCGTGTTCTTGGCTGTATAGGAGGCATGCAGATTTCACATTTATATGTATATATACACATTTCTATATAGGTGTCCATATAATATATTGTATTATGTAATTATATATATTAATTACTTACACAGTAAACCCTTGGAATCTGCAGATCTATGGTTCCACTGCCCGGGGAAAACCAGGATTTATAGAAGTCTGTGCTGTATTCCAGATGCTTGATTCGTTTTTCCCCTAACAGCACCCAACTTCCACTAAAGCCATGCCAAATCCCAAATTCTCACTCCGTCACATTCACCTTTACCTTGCCTTTCGGGCACCGATTGCTCTTTGGGGAAGGAGATTTTCACAGAATGAAGGGTGGGGAAGCACTCAGCAGATCACACGACGATTTCAACCGACTGACTGATCGTCACACAGGACTGACTGAGCGCGCCTCTGCACCCACTGAGTTGTGAGAACCGCGCAGGGATTTAAATTTTGTTTTTGAAATTTCTTTGGATTTTATGTATTTGCTTTAACTGCACTTGGCCAAAACCTCTCCTGGTGGGAAGTGGGACCCCAGCCCCTTCATATTCCTTTCACTTTCAAGTCCTGTCCTGGAGGTAAGTGGCTTTGTTGACAGATGTACTCCCCGCGATGATGCGCTGAGCCACCTTGGCCCAAAGCCATGGAGCCAGCCACCACGGACTGAAGCTGCAAAGCTGTGAGCAACAGCACACCTTTCCTCTTTTAAGTTCACGCGTCACAGTGGTGGCAAGCTGACACCTGACAGAGAGAGGCCCCCCTCCCCAGATCCCCCTACTTTGGCAGTGTTGTGGTGGTCCTGACCTTCGGCCCCCGGTTAGTTTCCCATGAACCCTTGGGCTTTTGTTGAATTTCCACAAGCCACAGGCTAACTTGAGGAAAACGGATGGCTTTACATTCTGTGTTTCTGACTTGAGCACAGGAGCCATATTTGGTAGGATTTATTCCTGGCTGTCTTGACTTGACATTCTAAATTGTGTGATTTAAAGATTGCATTTCCTGTACATTATGTGAGTCGGCAAGAATGGAATTGACTTTTGTCCACTATGTCCCAGAACAAAAACTGGTTTTGAACTCGAAACCCAGGTTTTCCACGCGGCCATCATGGCGCCTGTTAGTGTAGTTTGTTGGTTTCTTCAACAGTCTTCGAATCAGACTCTTTTCCCTTGTGCTGTGATATCAGGGCAGTCGGCGTGATGGTGACTGGGTGTGTTTGGGGGGGATCCCTGGTGCCCCCTTTGGCTTGGACCAGAGCTTTTGGTGTCCGCTGTAAGTTTGGTGGAGACTTGTTGGCTTGGGCCACCCACGCCCTTGATGTTTGCTGAGAGCAATGATGGCTGGTGGATGCTCCTCCCGTCCTCTGAGGGGCCAGGGCTGGGCTTGCCTTGGATCTGTCCACACGGTGCTGGCTGGAACTGGGTGATACTCACACAGAGAGTGGTTGAACCTGTGGTGGGTCCTGGTGTCCAGCAGCCTGGGCTCTTCCTGCACAAGCAGGGCTATCCTCAGATGCTGGGGCAGACATGGGGAGGTGACAGCCATCCTCTTCAATCCCCTGATTTCATCCAGGGCCTGTGAGATGCTCCAGTCAAAGCTTAGATCAGGCCAGCCCAGCCTCCCATGGCTGGGACCCAGGCGTGCCGGGAACGGGTGTGCCGTAGAGCTGTCTATCCACATGTGATGACCTACTCAGTGGGTCCTCCCTACTGGTCACTGTCCTGGAGGCGGCCATTGGGTGTGCGTTGATGGCAGATTGGGCCTTCCCCAGTGCCTGGAAGGGATGCACGCCAGGGTCCCCTGAGGGAGGTGTGGTGGGAAGGAGTAGGAGAGGCCCAGGCTTCCCAGAGTCCTTGAGGATGGGGCAGGTGAGAAGACCACCGCCCATGGCCCTCCTCCTAGGGATGGGCCTGTGCCTCCCTCCCTCAGACTTTCCAGGAAACCCATCCCCACCCTCCAGGCCCAACAGCCAACCCAGATGGATAGGCTCCAGGGATGCCTTCCTTGCCATGTAGACAGGCTCACAGAGCCAGAACTGAGAACGGGGAGCTGCTCCACTTGCTCTGGGAAGACACTTCAACTCCTGAAGACATCTCCCCTCTTCCCTGCACACCTTGCAAACACGGGAGCAGGCTATAGATGCCTGCTGTGCTGGCTCTAGCTGGGTGGTAGAAACCGTCCTTTGAGACAGACAGACAGCAGTGAGCAGGCAAGGTCCATGCTCGTAGCTGGGAAGCGGTGCCCCTGCAGAACATAAATCCCCCCCACTGAGGGCCTCATGGCAGGGATCCCCACTGATCGGGGCAGGATGTGTACCATCTGTTCAGTGAACCAGGATCTGCAGCCCAGCAGACCTGGGTTCACACAGTGGGGTGGAAGGGTGGAAGGTGGAACTGGGGGTCCCAGATACAGTCACTGACCTCACGGCCTCCATGTAACTCATGGGGCCTGCAGAGCAGGGTGGGGTGGGGGGGAGCAGGTAAGCATAAAGCCTCTTAGATGAGGTTGGTACAGAGAACTCATGCTCCCAGCAGAGTGAAGACAGTCATACTGGAGCTGGGGCTGTGTGACCCTGGCCAAGTTGCTTTCCTTCTCTGTTCAGAGAAGAGTCTCCAGGGAGGCCTGGAGGAGGGTGAGTTTGTCCTTGACTGACCCTCACCGGTTCCCGTGTGGTTCAGGGTGCAAGTAGCTTTGCAGTGGGCATGTGTGGGACAGTGACTGGATTGACCTGGGGAGGTTCAGTGTCTCCTTCTAAAACCTGGGTCTGGGTGGTGGGCCAAGCACAGCCCACTCAGCTGGAAGAGTGGGAAGGGGTGCTACCTGGGGCCTCGTCTCAGAGGGGCAGAGCAGGGCCAGGGCCCCCGCCAGCAGAGCCCCGGCCTCCCCCGCTCACTCCCAAGCCCTGGCTGCAGCTTCTGCACACTGCTTCACGCTGGCGCTTCTCACATACTCCTCTCTCTCCATTCCCAGAACCCTGAAGTAGGCTTGTCTGTGGTTACAGATGAAGAGGCAGAGGGTCCGAGGGGCTAAGCGAGTGGCTGGCGTTACTCATCAGTGTTCTGTGGCATTGGAGTGGCCACTGTGGGTCATCCACATGCTAACAGGAAGCAGGCACTGGTGCCAGCACTGGCCCTGCTGGAGCCCCGGGTCCATCTCACTTCAGCCCCCACACACAGCCTTGGCTTACTGGTGACCAGATGGGGACTCAGAGCAATCACCTGCCAAAGCCTCACACTGCATGCAGTGACAGCTGGCAGCTGGGGACGCCTGAGCCTTGGTCACATGGAAGGGTGGCTGTCCTGTGGCCAGCACTGAGGGTAATGACCTCAGTGACATGTCCTCAGATTCTGTGATGGGACCTCTGGCTGTGCCCAGAGAGGTCCCACATCCTCTTATCCTCAGTCATGCTGACTCTTCCCACCGCCTGTCCACCCACCAGGCAGTGTGGGCCAGGAAAGGCTTGTCCGCCAGTTGACAAACTGCTTCCTTCCCCACCCTGGCTGGTTCTGGAAAGCTCTCTGCTGCCTCCTGGTGGGGACGCTGGGCGACCCCGAATGGTCAGGGTTGCAGGGTGGGTGTCACTCCTAACCTCTCTGGGCCTCCACATCTTCAACTGCAAACAGAGGATGAAAGGCAAGGGCAGTGCCAGTCCCAGGGAACGACCAGAAAGTGGAGGCAAAGTCACTTTGGGACCCTGCCCGGGGAAGCCCACCCCCATCACCCATCACCTCCTTTGACTTGTCAAAGGGCACACCATGGGAACAGAGCCGGGGCGGCACCTTGGAGAACCAGCAAGTTGCTGCAAAAACATTTATTGCTCTTTGACCATTTGACCTTTCCTTTGTAACAGCCACTTCCCAGAAAAGAAGCTGCCCAGAGCCCCTGGAGAAATGGGGACCCCTGCTACAAAGTGCACCCATCGGGGTGTCAGAGTGGGTGGCTGGGGGCCAGCCAGGGGGCCTGGCCGCAGACGCGCTGGGATACAAGGTTGCCCCTGCCCCTGCGGATATTGAGTTCAGAGGCAAAGGTCCTGGCCTTCTGGTAGAAGAAGAGAGACATCTCCCGGTCCATGAGGAAGTGATGGTAGATGGTGGCCAGGCGCGTGTAGATCTTCAGCTGGGCCTTCTTGTGGCCAAGGTCCACGGCTGCCGCCAGGGCTAGCTGGTAGTACCCAGCAGCGTCAAATGGGTCCTGTGGGGGCAGATGTGGTGATTAAACTGGATTCAGCTCTGACTTATGAGGAGGGTGGGGAGGGGCAGGCAGGGGACTCGGAGTCTGTCCCCAAGGGTTACTCCTGATCCAGATCCCTCCATCAACTGAGCCCCACACTGACTGGCCCTCACTTCTACAGCCAAGACACTGGGAGGACACCCATCTGCCGAGGCACACTGCCACAGCTCAGCCTGCAGGATGGTGGCTGGAGGGCTCTGTCCTTGACTGGGCCACAGCTTCCTCATTCTTGTAACAGGACACGCCTTTCCCAAAGCTTTACCAGGAGAACCCACCACACCGGATCTGGGCTCTGGGCTCTGGAGTCCCATCTCACCCCGACAGTGATCCAGACGTCTGAGTGGGCCTGGAGTGGCCTTTGACCACCCGACCCCAGGTCCTTCCTATGCCCCCCACATGAGAACATTGCTTTGGTGCCCACGGTGGCTCCTGTCTGGTTTCAGGGCCTTGGACCTTGAATTGTCACCTCTCCTCTTGAAACTTCCTGACCACCCACACCTTACACTCACCAGTCTCCTGCCCTTCCCTGCCCTCCAAAGGCCTGTGCTGCCTTCCTGGGGCTGAGGTCAGTCCCCAGGGCTGCAGGCCGGGCCAGCTCTGGGGGCCCTCTGACCCCGTGCTGTTGGGTGAGTGTGTGAGTGACGCAGGCTCTGCAGCTGTGGTCCCGTGTACACCTTGCAGGCCTCATCTCTGGGAACCCTCCCAGAAGCTTCAGAGGGGTAAGACCCCCCCACCAAGCCATCTTTGCTTCAAGTTCAATGTCCTGGTCAGGATGGGGCTTTCTCTCCCTCCCCCGCCTCCCACCCAGCCTCTCCTGAGGTCCTTCTTCCACTAGGACCTGCACCTTAGCAGCTTTCAACAGCTCCCCAGGGCCAAGATGGACCAGTCTGTCTCTTCTGTCCACCCCTCAACCCCCAGAAAGGACCAGAGAACAAAACAGACCAGGCTCATGGTAATTCCTGCTCCCAGACCCAGGGACCTGGAGCTAAATGGTGCCCATATGGGGCCAGGTCTGTGACAGAGGACAGCCTGCGGTGGGGTGGGAGGGCTTCTGGAAGGACATCTGAACTAAAGGAGAAGGAGCCAGCCAAAGTGTGTGCACATGAGTGTGTGCATGTGTATGTGAGAAGAGCAGGTCAGGATTTGCACTCAAGTCCACCCTACTTAAGCCTTGCACTTTGGCTAGGAGGATCTGTGCCTAGACTGAAGGTGACCAGAGTTAGAGACAACTGTCAGGAATGACCTGGGATGCCTGCCCCCCAGGCAGCTCTTCCCACCATCTGCCTCTTTCTCCTTCCCACCTTCTCCAGGCAGTGTTGCATAGGAAAGGGAGGGTTTTGGGATGCACAGGCCTGAGGTCAACACTGCTGGTCAAGGCCAGGCTAGGTGTTAGGTAGCAAGCGTGAAGCTTATGAGGAAGGCAGAGGAGAGGGGAAGGAAGCAGAGGGAGTTCTCTGCCCCTTGACCCCTTCGCCTGGCCTGGACCTTGGCCTCTCTGCAGCAACCCAGTCCTTTCCTTCCTCCTGGTGGGTGGAGTGAAGGCAGGCATGACTTTAGAGAGATAAAGGCACCCTTCTCAGAAGACCCTTGTCCTAAAGTCCCAGAAGAGTAGGTGTGGGGCCCTCTGGACAGCCAGATGCAACTCCTTCCTGCAAGGGGCACTGCCCTGGTGGAAGGCTGCAAGACCGCTTCTGACCAGCAGGTGTTGGTAGTGCCCATAGGACCTGGGGTGGAGGGTGGGGATGCAGATGGGGTCCTCAAGGCCCTCACACAACTGTGAAGCCTCTCAGGGGCCCGCACCCCTCAGCAGCAGAAGCACCTATGCTGTGCAGGTGCAGTTCTGGGCCTCAGGCCAGGCGGATGGGGGCCGGACTAGGAGGTGGCCCACCTGGCTGGGGAAGGGACAGAAGGAGACACCTTGTGGAGGAGACATTGGAGTCCTCTCCTACAGGTGGTCAGCTCAGCAGCCACTACAGGGGGCTGCAGGACAGATGGAAAAGAAGTTTCTGCTCCTGTCCCTGACCAGCAAGGACTCAACCAGGCTGCCTCAGACCACGGAGCCCCAGGGACCCTCCACGAGCTTCAGTTTCCTTCTGATAGGCAGAATAATAATGGACGTGCCTGCCCTGCCTGAGTGACCTGAAGATAGAGTGTCCCGGAATTGCAGGAAGGAATTGCTGAGATAGGTCGGCGTCCTGGCGACCTTCCTGGAAGAGGGGTCAGGATATGGGCTGGATCTCCCATGTGGGTCTCTGGGGACAACAGTACATCCTGAATGTCCTTCTTCCCCTGAGCCCTTTATTGTTAACACTGTGTGACTCTCAAGGCTAGCTTTGGCATCACCTCCTCCAGGAGACCCCAGGAGGTGACCACCACGACAATCCCAAAGCTGTGTGCCCTTTACCCTATGTCTGTCACACCTCAGCCTCCTTCAGTTGCCCTGAGCTCTGGAGGGCTGGGCCCGGCCAACAAGGGAGTCTGGACAGTGTCTGGCTGACCTGGCTACAGGGAGACTGGTTGCCCATTGCTGGAAGGCTTGAGCCCAGGCCCCTGAGGTCCGTGCTGACCCAACCCTGCCCCAGTACCCTGAGCCCTGCCCCTCCTGTCCACCTTCAGGTCATAGAAGATGATGTCACCGAGCACCAGGTACACCTTCACATAGTACAGAGTCTCCTCGTCAAACTCCAGGGGGGAGCTGCAGAGCGACAGAGCTTTGAGGTAGAAGTGCTCTGCCAGTTCCCCGTGGCCCAGCTGATGATGAAGGGCGGCCAGCCGGTGGTAGGCCACTCGCTCGTTCAGTCGGTCACCTGGAGTGCAGATGGAGTGGGTAAGAGGACACGACCCATAGGGCAGACAGGGCAAGGCTGATGGGCACCAAGCATCAGATGCCCACAATGCCTGTCTCTGCTTCTGAGCACTTTCATGGCTTAGCCTGGGCAGCTCCAGTCACTTCTTGTCCCTGAGACTTGCTTTTTCCATCTGTAAAGTGGGTCACTCAGTCCCCCCACCTTTGGATCTGACAGAGTTTGGATTTGGATGCACCAGCTCTGTGCCTGTGCGCAGTCACCTGGATGGGTGCCTCTGGTTACTGTTTTTAACTCAGAGCACCAAGGCACGTGGTGCATGCATTCTCGGTACTGGCTCAGGTTGGCCCACAGGCCTGGCAGAAGCCCCTGCCTAGTATATTATCAGCCCAGTCCCCAACCCTGGGGAGTCAAGCCCCCTGGAGCCTTGGGCCCAGGCAGCCAGCCTCTGTGGTATCTGGCATTCCTCCCTCCAGGGTCAGAGCCTGCATATCTACTGTGGGTAGAGGTGCTGACCAGCCTTCTCCATGCTCTCTCTCTCCTGAGGAAGACCCATAGCCCGTACAGCACCACCAGTGAGCAGCTTCAGGAAGGGATTTCACCAGCCAGAGAGCAACAATGGCTGATGAAGGTGAGGAAGAGGATACAGAAGGCCAGCAGACATCAAGGTCAGCCTGGCTCATTCAAGGACCGGTGGGAAGCCACAGCAGGCAGAAAGCAGGACAGACTGGCTGGCATTCAGGTTGGCAAGGGGATGGGAAGAGGCCCAGTGGCCATTTCTGCTCCTGCCCTACAGACTGGGAGTGGAAGCCCTGGTGGGGCACAGGGGGCTCACCCAGAGTGATGCTGAGTGCCAGGGCCTCATGAGCGAACTCCAGGCCCTCCTGGGGGACCTCCAGTGCAGCCAGCAGCGCCACCAGCTTGTTACATAGCCGCAGCTCTACTTCTTGGTTCCCCACGGTCACAGCCAAGGGCAGTGCCCGGTCCTGTTCACATGAGGGCAGGGGATTAATGCCTCCGCAGTACCTGCCAGGCAAAATCCCTCCCAGACCACATGTGTACGGGCTTCCCACCCCTTATTGCAGGGTCTTCATGCAGCTCTGTGCCCCAGAGAAAAAATGGTTCAGAGATCCTGGCACCCCAAGCTGGAAGCTGGGGTGACCCACCCACACACTTATCTAGCTACACCTGCAGCCTCAGCCCAGTCCCTCCACCATCTAGGCATAGGATCTGAGTGGGAGGACCTAACACTCTTTGCTCAAAAAAAGGTACAGTTACGTGAACCCAGGGCCAAGCTACACACTGTGAGCTAGGGGGCCAGTGGAAAGGAGAAGCCAAGGTCTCCTAACTGATGTTCTGTGTGTCCTGTGACATATCCCTCTGCTTCTCTGAGCCCCTTCCTTGTCTGTCAAATGGAGACAGGACTTCCCACTCAGCCTTGCTTTAGATCATCAGGTGCAAGTGGGAGACAGATGCTGGAGTGGGGGTGAGGTTGTCAAGACAATTCCAGAAAACCGAGCTTGCACTGGGTCAGTCCAGCCCCCAGGTGGGAGACCTCTGAACTGCCATACCTGTGCCAAGGCCCATTGAGGGCTGCCCACCTTAGGCACATAGGCACAGACCCATGGCAGCCACTCACCCGGTAGAAGGACACAGCTTTCTCCCGCTCCCAGGTCCCATTGAAGAAGATGTCTCCAGCTGCCTCAAACAGTTCCAGCCCCAAGTTGGGGTCCCCTGTGTACAGGGCTGCATTCTGTGCCACCTGCAAGGATCCAGAAGCTCCCTGGAGAAGGGACCTGACCAGGTGGCCAAAGTCCCCGTCTGGCTGGGTATGCAGCCATGGCCAGCATCCTCTTCTCTCACCCAGAAGTGCCAGCCTTCTTTTAGTCCCTATTAGTTTGGGGCCCTCAGGACCATTGTCTTAAGCGACCGAGTACCTTGAGGAGTCTTCCAGCCAGAGCCCAGGAGCCCAGCCAGTTTACAAGTGCGAGCAGAGCTCCAGTCCTGCTTCCAGCTCTGTCCCCCTTGCCCAGACCACCGTCCTCTGCTCCATATCACCTGTGGCTCCCACCAAATCTCCCCCACCCCACCACATCTCCATTTCTCTGAACCCTCAGCAACAATCACCTGGCCACGTCTATTGTCTCTTCCACCAGAAAACTAGCCCCACAAGGCTGTGGCTTCCTGCTGTGTCTAGGGCCTCCCACGCTCCCAGGCACCTAGGTATCCAATAATTTCCCACCCAGCGATGAGAATCGAGCCTTTCCTGATGCTCAGCAGGACCTAACTGCCTGCAGCTCCCAGGATGTGCCATGTCTCTGTGGACTTCTGGACTGCACCTGAGTCCTGTGCTGATAACAGCCCTCCTCTGGAAGGGGGTGGCTAGCCCCCCTCACCCTGACTCAGACCTCCTTAGCCCCAGTCTACCACAGCCCAGACCCTACATCTATCTGAGCTGATGTGCCTGTTCGTATCCTTCTCAGCCATGAACTCCCAAGCCTGGAACTCTTGGCTGTTGTCTCAGGGGAGGACACAGTGGTGCTCAAACATGAAATCCTGTGTCCTCCCCATTTGTCCAAATCATATTGTGTTTGAGAAAGCATCTAAAAACAGTTTCTATGATGCATGCAATGAAAGAAGTAAATGTGCCTAGCTTACACCTGTAATCCTAGCTATTTGAGAGGCAGAGATGAGGAGGATCACAGTTTGAGGCCAGCCCAGGGGAAAAGTTAGCAAGACTCCATCTCAACAAACAAGTTGGGCATGGAGGTTTACATCTGTAATCCTAGCTATGGGGGAGATATAGTAGGAACATCAAGACCTGAGGCTGACCTCAGGCAAAAAGTGTGGCGCCCTATCTGAAAAATAGCAACAACAACAAAAAAAGGTTGGGAGCATGGCTCAAGTGGTAAAGCACCTGCCTAGCAAGCCCAAGGCACTGAGTTTAAATCCCAGTACCACCCAAAAATAAAACAAATAAAAGTAAAGTAAATGAGCCATATACTGCTTGGACTCTGGGTCAGCTGTGTGTGTGCGCCACTGCACACTTACTGAGCAACAGTACTGTGCACCAACTTTCTGCATACCAGCATAGTGCTGGGTACTGTGAGGGCCCCACCCTTCTGCCCCCCAGGGAGCTTAGATGGTTGGAGGAGATGCTGGGCACTGGGGGAGATTGTGAGGGAGCCAGGGGTGTAGAGGGAGAAAGGTCCCTGGGACACAGTAGGTGCTCAAAAGTAGCTCTGGAATGTATGTATGCATGCATGTGTAGATGGACAGGTGGGTGGATGGATGGACAGATGAATGGATGGGCATATGGATGCATGAGTGGATGGATGGGCAGAAGGATGGATGGATGGATGGATGGAAGGATGAGAGCTAGGTGGATGCATGAGTGGATGGGTGGATGGATGAGTGGATGGGTGGGTGGATGGAGGAGTAGGTGGGTGGGTGGATGGATGGGTGGATAAGTGGTAGGTGGATGGATGAGAGCACGGGTGGATGGATGAGTGGATGGATGGATAGGTGGTGGGTGGATGGATGGATGGATGGATGAATTGATGGGTGGATGGGTGGGTGGATGGAGGAGTAGGTGGGTGGGTGGATGGATGGGTGGATGGATGAGTGGATGGATGGATGGATGGATGGATGGATAGGTGGTGGGTGGATGGATGGGTGGATTAATGTATGGGTGGGTGGATAGGTGAATGGATGGATAGATGGTTAGGTAGGTAGGTGGATGGATGGGTAGATGGATGGTTGAATGGATAGGTGGATGGATGGATGGGTGAGTGGATAGGTGGATGGGTGGGTGGATAGGTGAATGGGTGGATGGATGGTTAGATAGGTGAGTGGATGGATAGGTAGATGAATGGTTGAATGGATAGGTAGGTGGATGGATGGGTGGTGGATAGGTGGATGGGTGGATGGATGGTTAGGTAGGTGAGTGGATGGATGGGTGGATGGATAGGTGGATGGATAGATGGGTGGGTAGATAGGTGGATGGGTGGATGGATGGTTAGGTAGGTGAGTGGATGGATGGATGGATGGATGGTTGAATGGATAGGTGGATGGATAGATGGGTGGGTAGATAGGTGGATGGGTGGATGGATGGTTAGGTAGGTGAGTGGATGGATGGGTGGATGGATGGTTGAATGGATAGGTGGATGGATAGATGGGTGGGCAGATAGGTGGATGGGTGGATGGATGGTTAGGTAGGTGGGTGGATGGATGGGTAGATGAGTGGATGGACAGTGAGTGGATTGATGAGTGACTGGGCTCCCCTAGCCTGCCCCATGCCCACACCTGGATATACAAGTCCACCAGCTCATTCTGACGCAAGATATAGTAGATCTTCCCTGCCTGTAGCCAGGCATACGCCTCCTTCTCCTTCTTCTGCAGGTCAATGAATATCCCCAGACTCCTCTTGGTGTAGTCCAGGGCAGATTTGTAGGCCCTGGAATCAGACACAGAGGTCAGAGTGAGAGCATGGAACTAGCCCTGCTTTTCTTACTGTGGTCAGCTGATGGATGGACCTGGTAGTCAAGACCTGAATGGATCCTCTGCTGTGTGCAGCCTCCTGTACTTCCTGGGCTGCTGGGAGACTGAAACGAACACCCACAACACAGTACCGAAAGATGAAGATTCTTCAGAGGGAATGCTGCCCATGCTGGCCACGTGGTGGTTGCTGCATGCTTGCCAGCTCTCCCTGCCTGCCCAAACACAGCCTGCATCCCTTTTGGACACCCAGGAACCACCACCATGGGGCACAAATTCCGACTCTCTAGGCCAGTGGCTCTTAAACTTGCACATGCCACACACTGCTCCCAGGAAGGCCCTGCTGTGACTTTCTGACTCCATGGGCATGGGGCAGGAAGGAGACGGGACACCTCCAACAAACTCCCAGGGAGGTAGGAGCTGCTCTGCTGGCCCAGACACCACATTTTGAGAAGCATCACTGCATCCTGTGTCCCCACCACTCCTGCTGTGAATTCAGGGTCAGGGCAGGCACCCATTCCCAGAGTCTTCATGGACTCTCAGTGAGTTCCCCACACTAGAGGAGGTTGTAACTACAATGAGTTTACCAGGCCCCATGGACTAATTAGGACTTTCAGTGTGGGCCACACCTGGGAAACGAGCCTGAGATCTTCCAGGGAAGCAGGTAGGACCGAGGGCCCTGCTTTTTGTGGACAAGAAGCCTCAGAAACATGGTCACTGTCATCATGTCTGGGGGGACAGCAGCTGAAGCCACCATGGCAGGAAGAGGGGCCTGGAAATGCACGTAACACCTCTCTAGGGGTCAAACTCCCATTGGGGAGGTATGGGAGGGGGGCAAGAGGGCTCGTTGCCCATCAGGGAGGTCTAAGCTGGAGCACATGTCATGAGTCATGGATGGGTTGATGACAAGTCCTGCCAGGTTAGAACTGAGCTGAAGCTAAGGAACCCCATAGTTCCCAAAGAGAGGAGCTCCCCAGGGATAGGGCCTGGCTTCTGTTTTGCCCTCATCCTGCTGAGGGGCTGGCTCTTACCGCTCAGTGCCCAGTGACAGGTAGAGCTGACTGATGGCCTCCAGAAGCTGTCCCTCCAGCACTTTGTCAGCCACCCTGCGGGCCAGCGCGAGTTGGAACTCATGGTAGATGACACACTGGGCCTCGTTGGGCACCACCCTGCTGTAGAAGTGGCAGAGTTGCTGGACGGCTTGCAGCTGGCCTGGGCAGGTGGGGGACAAAAGGAAGATACAACTCATGGGTGCTGGGATCAAGGCCCCCACTCTACATCTGCCTCTTCCATACCTCCATGAATCCGGTTCCTCATAGATGGGGACACTGAGCCCACAGACAGGCTATGTGACCTGCTGGAGGGCACGCTGTGAAATTCCCAGATCCTGGTGCATGGTGGGAAGCTCCAGAGATGGCACTGACCATTTTGACAAACCCAGGGCCAGGTCCTGGCTAAGTGATACACCACTCCCGACCTCCTGTTTTAGCCTCACCATGCTCTCCTGGCCAAAACAATAGCTGCCTCTACCCAGATCCAGTGGCCAGGGCACTGGCAGCCCATTGCAGATGGACACATGGAGAGTCCAAAGCCAAGTGCCTTCAGCTCACAGCATGGGGTGATTCATTCAGGCCCTAGCATTCCAAAGCCCTGCTCTGTCCAGGAGGCCTGGCTCCAAACCACAGGCCAAGTGGCCTCTCCTAAAACCAAAGGCCTGGGAGTCTTACAGAGCCTCCAACTGTCAAAAATAATCCAGAGATCAACAAGGAAACAGAAGACTTAACCATGCCATAAACCAGTCAGGCCAAATAGACACCTACAAAGCACCCCGCCCATGGTGGCAGAATGCAGCCTTCTCAAGTGCCCACAGGTCAGGCTGCAAGACAGGCCACACAGCAGGCCAGAGCACAAGGCTCAGCGTGTAAAAGGCTTGAAATCATACACAATATGTTCTCCAGATGCACAGGAATAGAGGTCAGTGAGAGAAGGAAGTTTGGGGAATTCACAAATGTGTGAAAATAAAACTGCACACTTTTAAAACCACGGGGTCAAAGAAAAGATCACAAGGGAAACCTGAAACAACTTGGAGATGATTGAAAACAAAACATGAAAATTTAAGGAATGCAGCTAAAATAGTGTATAGAGGGAAATTTATAGTTCTGGGTGGCTTCATTGAAAAAAAAAAAAGAAAAAGAAAAAGAATGCCAAATCCCACACCTAACCTACCTTAAGAGATTAGTAAAAGAAGAGCTGACCAACACCAAGTATAAAAGTAGCAAAAGGAAGATCAGAGCAGAAATAAATAAAATACAGAGGAGGGAAAATCAGTGAAGTCAAAAACTGGTTGTCTAAAAAGAATAACAAATTTAACAACTCCTTCACCAGACTGAGCAAGACAAGAAGCATATTACTAAAATCAAACCAAAGAGGGGACAAAGCTCTCAAAAATGAAAGGATTATGAAAGAACACAGTGAACAGTTGCACACCAGCAAATCAGATAACCTAGATGAAGTTTCCAGATTTCCAGAGACGCCCTCCTTACCAAAGTGGTTCAGAAGCACCTGGGAGGATTTGCGGACCTGGTGTCTCTGGGACACCACCCCAACCCCTTTTAGATTCTTCACTAAGGGAGAGGAGGGTAATATGGCTTAGGCTCCCTGCTCAGTGTTTCCAGCTCTATATTCCCCGCCCCTGGGTGAGTCCTGCAGGAGAGGTGCCACTGGCTAGAATGACCAGGACCTGGGTACAGGAGGCCACAGGGGGTGGCTCCTCCTGAAGGCCCCCAGGATCGCCTTCTGCCAGAGGCTGACCTGTCATGATCTCACCTGCTGGTGAAGAAGCTCTCGGTGTCAACCCTCCCTCCCTCCTCAGGCCCCCTCACATGGTCATTTCCACAAGCTCCATCCCTTCAGGGTTCCTGAACATGTGGTGGCGAATGGGCAGACTTGGCTGCAGCCCAGGGACCCTGGAGGAGGGGCAAGGAGGCTTCTCCGAGCAGTGTCACTATCCTCCATTCTGGGGGGATAGACAAGTATCCCAGCAGAGGGATCTGGAATCCCTGAACAGCATTCCATGACCTGGTCTTATTCAGGACTCTCTTCCCAATCCTTCGACCACACTCTCTACCTGTCCTGTTGCCTGGAGCACCGGTTCCTCATCCCACCTGCTATCCATTCAGTGAACAAAACCATAGTGAGTGTTCTATAGAACTCAATGGCTTTCCAGTGCTCTTAGAAAAGGCCCCACAGTCTGGGGCCCTTGGGGCCTGCCTAGTTTCCTAGTCAAGGTTCTCACTATCCACCACTCTACCCACCTACCCCAGGCCCCACTCATTTCACCCCAGGGCCTTTGCACAGCCTCACCACCAGTTCCTTACTCACTACCTTGCTTGGTTAAATCTTCCTCAGCTCTCCAGCCCCACATTAGAAATAACACCATAATACTCCAGCCAGGAGCTGGAGCTGACCGTCACAAAGTCAACCCTCTCTTGTGACTTTTCTGACCTGGTCATCTGTTTCCTGTGCTCAGTCCCCACTGAGGACCAAGTGGCATTGCTTGTGAGTGGAACCTGGCTTACATTCTTCCTAACATGCTTTTGCATGAACTTGAACCACTCTGCTGCCCTGAACCATAGGAAGAGGGATGTGTAAGGAGCAGGGATTTTGAGAGACACCAAGGAGGTAATAGGAGCTGAGGCCTGGCTCATTGGGTCCCAAGTCTTCTCCGTCTCAGCTGAGCCCTGAGTTTCAGGGCTCTGAGTAGGGTGACCCACAGGCCTGTGGGGGGATTGCGGGGCCCCCAGAATGCCGGCCTTGCAGTTAAAATGCCCTGACATGGTCTGGCCTGTGTGGGACCCCCAAGATGTGCACCAAAGTACAGGGAAAGAAAACACGTTTTCTCTCCAGGATGCCAGTCCACCTCAACACAAACCCCAGGGCAACATGGGTTTGCCATGTTGGCAATCACTCCCTCCTGGTCCTCACTGGCCACAGCCGCCTCCAGGACGAACTCCAGGATGTCCAGAGCCACCAGGCTCTGCCTGTGGAGCACATGCAACCAGGCCAGGGCCACCACATGGTCCACAACCAGGTGGACGCCGGCTGTGGTGTCAGCTTCCGCTGCCTGCATCATGGTGGTACTTACTCTCCAGGTGGTCCATCTCCACAGCAACCACAAAGGCCCACTCGTAATAGCACTTGCCCTGCTGGATGAGGGCTCTGCGGGTAGACAGGTGGCCCATCCACAGAAGCACCTGGATGAAGTCCTGGCCACACGTCCCACTGGGCAGCTGGGAGAAGAACCTGATGGACTGTTGGAGGTAGTGCTGGGCCAGCCTGCTGGCACCAGCCTGCAGGCACAGGGCCCCGAAGTTGGCCAGGACCACAGCCTGGTTCCGCATCTGTCCCAGGCCCCGGGCCACGTGTAGAGCACGGTAATAGCCCTCCGCTGCCTGCCGCGTCCTGCCCGTCCTTCTCAGAGCAATGGCTGCCATGTTGGCAATCACTCCCTCCTGGTCCTCACTGGCCACAGCCGCCTCCAGGACGAACTCCAGGATGTCCAGCGCCACCAGGCTCTGCCTGTGGAGCACATGCAACCAGGCCAGGGCCACCACATGGTCCACAACCAGGTGGACGCCGGCTGTGGTGTCAGCTTCCGCTGCCTGCATCATGAAGACAATGGCCTGGCTCTGTTGCTGGTGGTGGCTATGCAGCCGGGCCAGGCTGGCATAGAGGGGACCACATAGCGCCTGCCCCGTGCCTGAGGCCAGCGAGGCCAGCGCCTGCCTGAGGTAGTGGGCGATCTGGGCAGGGAGGCTGGGGGCTGCCTTCCTGGGACCAGGCAGTCCAGGAGCGTTCCGAAGGACCAGGTCCACACTCCTCAGGGAGCTAGCCAGCGAGCCCCGGGTCCACAGAGAGGCCACCTTGGCACAGCTCAGCCCCAGATGGGGCAGGCATTTCCGGCTGTAGAAGTCTGCCAGGAGCAGGCAGCAGTCTGCAGGCCACAAGGCCATTGGTGCCCGTGAGCCTAGGTGCAGAAGCAGCAGTCTCTCCAAGTATGGCAGGGCCTCCTCAGCCTGCTTGAGGTGGCTGTGGTGCTTGGCCAGCAGAAAGCAGGCCCGGGCCTCAGCCTGTGGGCTCTGGCTGCTGATAGCTCTCCTCAGTGCATATTTTAGCACCTCAGCCTCTGCATCCATGCTGCCTGCCACTGGACTGGGTGTTCCCAGAAGCAGAGCTGCTGCCTTGGGCACCACCTGCACACACTTCTCCCGGTTCTTCTGCTTCAGGTAAATGGTGGCCAGGTTGGTATACACAGCCACCACCAGGAAGAGATCTCCAAAGCTGCCTCCCAGGGCCCCCAGAGCTTCCTCAAAGTATACCCGGGCCTGGGAGAGCTTAAGCCTCCGGGCGCATAGCCGTCCCAGCAGGAAGCAGAGTCTGGCCAGGGCCATGCCCAGGCCGGCTTTCTTGGCCAGCCCGCGGGCCTGGGCCAGGCGCCCAACCAGCTCCTCATCTGTGAAGCTGCAGAAGGCACGGCTGAGCCACGGCAGTGAGACGTCATAAAGGCCACGGAAGCAGGGCTCATACCCTGGGGCATTCAGGACCTGCAGCAGTGAGCCGGGGGCCTCTGGGTCCTCCCAGTCGTCCTCGGCGTCCAGGCAGAAGGGGGGCTCCTCGAGGTCGAGCGAGCTGACACTGCTGGATGTCCCCTGGAAGCCCCAGGACGCTGGTTCTTTAGGGCAGGCTGGGAGGGTCTTGCACTGTTCTAGAACATCCTTTACCCTCCGCAGGATCTCACAGGGCTCTGGGCTCAGGCAAGGCAGAGACGTTTCTGCAAGTCACAAAAAGGCCCAGTTGGATCATTGTTTGGATGTGAGTTCTGGCTCCATGTGGGCCTGCGTGTTGATGATGCTATGCTTTCTGAATGCCATTTCCCACCAGGCTGCTGGAGCACTTGAAGGTAACAGTGGGATATAGTCACTATGATTCCAGGGAAAGTGAGGTCCCTCTGGCCAACCTTCCAACCCTGCTTTTTTGAGAGCATAATTCTAGGAGGCCAAGGGTCACTTGCAACCCTTCCCTAAAGAAAGAATCAAAGCCACCAAAGCCAGCACAATCCCCCCTCCAACCCAGTGCTGCAGCTGAAAGTGTGTGATTCTGTCCCTATATCCAGCTCTCCCATTGAACCAGAATCCATGAAATCAATTGGCTTGGATGTCAATTGGAGCTATTGATCAGCATGACTCAAAAGTCACCACACAAAAACATAAAACGGGCTGGGTATTGCTCAGTGGCAGAGCACGTAGCTAGCTTGCACGAAGCCCTGGGTTCAATCCCCAGGGACATAAAAAAAAAAAGAAAGAAAGAAAAACCCAGCTACAGCAGAGGAGAGGGAGCCTGTGACTGTCTGTGCAGCTACTTCACAGGAAAGAGACCATCCCTAGCGTGAAATGGGGAATGACTCTCAAACACCGTCTCCACCCTTGCCTTGGGTGGTTTGGGAGTCTGAGGCCAGTCAGTGGTGGTTGCCAAAGGATTAAGAAAGACAAAGTGCACGATGACCAAGGGGACTATCAGCCTTGGATGAGTGTGGCATGCAAGTCATGTCCCTTTATGGGGCAGAGCAAACAAGCTGTGTTTTTGCCCAAAAAACACGGGTTTAACTGGGAATTATTTGGAAGGAAAGAATCAGCCTCTTCTCTCTCAAGTTCATATGTAAAAAATATTTCACAACAGTCTCTTTATTAGTCTGTGAAGCCTGGGAATAAGAAAAAATCAACTGTGGTTTGATGTCACAGGTCCCACTTGACTGTACTAGATTACCTAAGAAACCCACCCCGTCCGCAGCGGCCCCTCCAGGCTGGTTTCTTGCTGCTTTTCTGCCCTGACAGCCAGAAGAGCCAGAAGGTCCTTGGGCAGACTATGGGCCACCTGGAAAGAGGCCTCCTCCATCCTCACTTGCCTCAGCCTGTAGAACTCTGGGAGGCCTAGGGCTCCGCCACTTCTAGGCCTCCTCTAGAGTCTCCTCCCTGCCTCCCAGAGGCACTTGTGGGCTTGTTCCTAAATGGATCCACTGCTAGAGGCATCCCCAGGCCCTTGGGTGCTCACGACCCCAGACTCCCCCATGCAGACCCTCTGGGTCTGGGAGAGGACATGGGGCTACAGAGGGGTGATGGAAAGAGTCTCCCTGAACCAGCCTCATGGGAAGGGTGGACCTCAGGGACCAGATTTGGGGGAGGGGCTTCCTCACCTACTCAAGGCCCAGATCTCTCTGCCACTGGGGGCAGTGTAGCCCTCCACTGAGGTAGAGCAGGGCTACCTTCAGCTATCTGGGGCAAGCGAATTCAGCCAGGAAAGGGAGCCTGCCCCTTGCACCCTACCGGGGCTGTGGGCATTCATTGGAAGACGTGCGGGTCCCTGGGTTCCACAGCCTCAGCATGGGAAACTTCAGGCCCACCTCACCCAGCCTCCCCTCTGCTGCAGCCCGCCTAACACCCACTGTCTACTGTGTCCAGTGTTGCTGCCTCTGCCCCATGTTTTCCCTGAAGCCCAGCCATGAGCAGAGGAACTCGAGCCCAAAGGCAGCACCCACCTTGCTCCTCCAGCTGCTGGCACTCAGCTTCTTCTAACTGATCTGAGGAGAGAGGGAAGAAAAGCAGTCACCACCTCCAACCAGTGGCAGAAGCACTGATCGCTAGCACCCATCAGGGAGAAGTGGGGTTCAGTGGCTGAAGAATCCATGGCCCTCTGCCCAGAGGCTCCAGGCCAGGACAGAGCATAGTGGTCCACCATGCTCTCCTCCATCCCCACGTGGGACCCCATCCTACCATCCTGTGGGGCAGGGGACATGCTCCATTGGGATAAAGTGCACAGAGGGGCAGTAGTGTTCAGTCCCTCAAGTGTGAAATGAAGTCTGCTGTATCACGAGCACCCTCCTCACTCCAGGGCCAGCACTCCCCAGCCTCAGTTTCCACCTCCTTGACATGGGCCAGCATTGCCTGCTAGGTTGCCATAGAAACCAAATGGGATTAAGAGCTGAAAAGGATGTATAAATTGTGAAAAACTGTGAACCATCACAACAGGTAGGTGGTTCCTGGGATGTCCCCTCCCCCTCACTGGACACAGAGGCGTCCATACAACATCTCCAGCCCCATTGTTCTGGGGCCTGAACTCTGCCTCCTAAGAAAGCAGGATGTAGTGTCAACTGGGTCTGAGCCTTGGTGTGCTGAGTTCAAATTTGGCTTTGTCCTTTTAGGAAGAGAAATTCATTTGGGGTCTAAAAAGTTTCAATCTAATATTGGTGAGGAAAAAAATCTTTCGATGCCTGCCATTGAGCAGAAAGAAAAGTGTGCAGAAATGTATTTGTTTCTATGTGTGTGTACATACCACGTGTGTGCACAGATATGAACATATGTATGTATGTCTGGGGGAGTGGGTGTGCATGTATGCACATTTGTGGGGATGTATATGTGTGTACACATACATGTTTATATGTGTGTACAAACACGTTTCTGTGTGAGTTTATACATGTACCGAGTTTATGTGTGTGCACACATATAAACACACATCTCTGTGAGCGTGCTCGAGTGTAGATGTGTGTGCATGTTTTTATATGTCTGCACAAGAGCATGCGTGTGACCGTGTGTCTACACACGGCTCTGTGTATCACATGAGCAGTGCACGCTTATGTGTCTGCAAGAGTACATACGTGTGTGAGCACATGTGTACACATGCATGCCTCTGAGTGCATGCGTGAGTGTGCATTGTGCAATTGTGCGGGTGTGTGTACCTGAGTGTATATTACATGTGTGTACATGTCTGTGTATACACATGTGAGTGTGTATGCATGTACTTGTGGACTCATGCTCACCAGCGGGTAGTGTACACACGTGCATTTGGCTCCATCAGAAAATGGTGGCAGGGCCACATCACCGCGTCCTGGTGACCTGTAGCAGCCCATGGGCTAGTTTGCCCAGTGCCCTGCACTCTGCCATGTTCCTTTCCTTGCTGAGGACTCACTTGCTCCACCGCCATGCATAGCAGGCCTCAGGGAAACACTCTTCATGTAGAAGGGCATCTCGCTAAGATGAGAATGGCAGCCCTGGGGTTCTGCCTGACAGCCCAAGTGGTCGGACAGCCTGGGCCAATCGACAGCCATGGAACCAGGCTCCATCTTGGGATAGGGAGAAGAGACACTGACATGGTCAGGTAGAGGGTTGGCCCCAAGCAGGAGCCCCTGTGCTGGTCAGATCACCGCCTGGTCCTGTGCTCCCCTGCCCAGTGGTGTGGAGGGCTTGGTGTGTCTGAGGCTGGAGTCTGGAATGGTGGAGAAAGGTTTCCTTGGCAACAGGACCTCAGCAGCAGGAAGCCTCATGGCCTCACCTGTCTCCTGTCTCTGGTCTCTCGAGAAGCCAAGGGCAACTGGGTGTCTGTGCACTCACCTTTCTGTAGGGCTGGGGGTTCACTAGGTGCCCACACATGAGGGAGGCAGAGCTCCCAGAAAGGACGAGGAGGAAGGGGAGGCTGCTGGGAATGTGGAGGAACCAGAAACATTCAACTATCTAGGGACTAAATGCCTGTGGACAGTGCTGATGAGGTGGAGCAAAGCTGTTTGGCCCCACACCCTCCAGCCGAGTTGCTGTTCCTTCCAGGAATCTGTCTGAGGAACCTCTCCCAGGTTATCAGCGCGGCTCCTGAGATGACCTTGCAGGCCACAGAGGGCAAGGGGAGGCGCTGTCCCATCACACATACCCCTTACCTACCCAAGCTGTACCCGGTACACACGTCCATGCCCGAAGTCCTGCTCAGGAGCTTCCTGGCATCCTCCTCAGAAAATCGCCCCTCACTGCTGAAGAACGACCTTTCTTCCTCACTAAGGAAAATCACACTTTCCAACCTGGAAAAATAAAGGACTTTATTCCAAAGGGCTTATTTCCAAAGTGTTAAATAAAACCCAGGAGGCTACCAGACTGAACTGAGGGCTGCCTGGGGCCCGACAGACCCAGACTCCAGACTGAACCAACATGGTGGCACTCACGCTAAGGTACTATCTCTCCAAGTCAAAACGGAGATTACCTGACAGGGAGATAAAAGTCAAGTCCCCAGACAGGCCAGGCTTAGCTTCACAATGAGGAAGCCCCCTGCTTTGGCCTTTACACAAAAGCAGCCTGGCATTAAGCAACCAGTGTTTCTCTGGCATTCTGCTTCCTGTTCCCACCCCACAAAGCCCACCATCCCACCACGGCCCTTCAGGAGCCAATGAAGGCTCCAGAGTCATGAAGACCACCCAACAGAGCTATAACTGAATTTGTTGGGATTTTGTCTTTTGACAAAAGTAAACATTTCACAGTAAGACTTGTTTTTATTCCCTCATTAGGCAGCCAGCCCCCAGTGAAGACACCAAGATAAAAATAAGACAGGTCTGCTCTCAAGGGGAGGCTTGCCTGGCTAAGGGCAGATGCTCAGGAGTAAGAACGATGTGAGGTCCTGGGAAGGGACCTCTGGGCAGCCTTCAAAGCCTGACCTCAAATGTCCTCTCCTTGAGAAGCCTGCCGGGACAGCTGCCATGGCCCCTCAGACAGCCTCTGTCCATGTGCCCCACAGGGCCCCACACAGAGACAGGGCTCGTGTGCCCCATAAAACCAGGGAAAGGGAGCAGGAAGGAACAGAGAGAGGGAGAAGAAAGGAGGCAATTTTGCCTGACGGACCAAATTACCAGTATAACATGAAACTTTGAAATTTACTTTATTGATAAAGAAGATTGTAGAGTAATTTATAGGACACTCTATAAAACAGCAGGCCTATTAAGACTTTAGTGCCAAAAGACCAAGACAGACTGAAAAACGTTTCTGATGGTGCAAGAGGACCAAAGCAGACAGACTCTAAACCAGAGGACGGGAATGAACAGGGGCACATGCCGAGCCAGCAGCCTGGGAACGGGGCTGAGAGGCGCTGGTCTGTTGCAGGGCTCGGCCCAGAGCAAGGTCACTGAAGACACGGCTCATGTGTGGGAGGTGAGACCAGGGGTGGGGGAACAGGACCAGCGTGAAGGGTGCTCTCCACACCCCCCTCCAGGCTTCTGCATCCAGGTCTTGACCAGGTCAAGTCCAGGAAAGCATAGTGCCATCCAAGGACAGCACGACTGTGCTTGCTGACCACTCCCCAAAGAACACCACCCCCTCAAATGCCTGCTGCCCAGAGGGATCCAGAGGCGACCAGAGTCCTCCCCTGGGAGTCCCTCTGTTGGGATAGAGAGTAGGTGGGTCCTGGGCAGGGTGGGATCTCACATAGCATAAGGAGCCAGGCCAAGAAGAGTATCCCCAGGGAGAAGCCATTACAGCTGGGACTTGGGCCCATCAGAGCCCCTGGGGAGCCAGGGTCTCAGGAGGGTCAAGGCGGAGGGGACACACATGTCAATCCACACGTTAAGGAGGGGTGAGCCAACCTGCTCAGCTGGACTTGGAGTGAGCTGATGGCCAGTGGTGGCCTTTGAAATTGGGGTCACCAGGACCAGAGTTGTGTGGTGCCTAGAAAGCAGGAGGAGGGGCTTTGAAGGGCTTTATGGAGGACAGCGACACAGCGAACTGGATAAGTAGTGCCCGATTCACACATATACCCCAACCTCAGAAGGCAAATGTTTTGGAAAGAGGGTCTTAACTAGAGACAGGTGGACAGGTGGTACAATAGCAAGTGTCTTCCAGGAAGAGGCAGCAGTCACAGGGACAGAGGTGGGGACTGGAGGGGTGCGGCCAGGACCCAGGGACATCAAGCTAGTGGGGGCTGGAAGAAGGGGAGAAGAGCCCTCCTCAGAGCCTCCAAAGGGAGCCCAGCCCACAGACACCTTGACCTCAGACTTCTGGCCCCAGACCATGAGGGAGTACAGTCCGTGATGGTCAGCTCTCTATGCTGTCACGACAATGCTGGGAGTTAACAAGTATGGCAGGTCGCAGCTCCCAGTGTCCTCCTGGTAGCACTTTGGAGGAAGGACATGGGGGAAGGGGAGACAGAGACAAGCACTGGGGATGAGGAAAGGAAGAAGGAGCTGTCTGGGACAGCATCCAGGTTTGTCACCTGGAAATCTGGGCGGAGGATGGTAGGGTCCCCACAGGAGTGGTAGGAGATTCAGGAAAGAGGGGCTCGGTCACTCACTCAGATGCGGTGTCCTGCACGCTTATGAGATCAGTTCGTACAAAGCCCACCTGGCCGGCGGCCAAGTGCCGGCCCACACACCAAGGCAGGCCAGGCACCTGGGCACCGAGGATCTCAATGAGGTCACCAGAATGGAAGGACATCTCCTCAGGCCCTGAGCCCTGGCAGTCTGCCACTGCAGAGGCCAGGCCAAGCCCTGTGAGAAGGAGACCACATGGTCAGTGCTGGGGTCTGGTGATCAGACAGGATGGCTTTCAGGTACATGCTGGGATTCCATCCTGCATGGCCAGAGAACTCAACTTTTGCCATCAGGGGGTGAAGGGAAACTTGGCCCTGTTCTTTGAGGGACCAGGCAGCTATAGGGTCCTCGGAGGGGGGCATTTATGTCCCTAGGCTGAAGATGGGAAACTGAGGCTCAGAGGCAATAGATAACTCAGCCCTGGACCCTCAGCCTCCAAGGCCAGGGCTCTTTCTTAATGCAACTGCAGCCCAGAGTCTTTCCTGTCCCCCCGGGCTTTGTGTCTATTCCATAGGACAAAAGGCTGGCCAAACACCCACTCTGTGTGAGCCAAGTATTGGCCCTGAGTTGAGCCAAAGGGTCCTTTCAGGGTGGGCTTTTCATTTCACATGAAAGACATAGGACGGGCGAGGCCAGGCCTCTCGGTCTCCCATCAGTGCCCCTGGCACATTCAACCAGAGCCCAGCTGCCCAGCTGCCTAGGCCAGGGCTCTTTGAGGAGGTTCAATATAGTGCCAGGAAGATCAGCGTCTCACTGAGCCATAAGGAGGTTCCAGTCGGGGTCTCTGGTGCAATGACCAGGGCCCTGGTCTGGCTTCCCAAGTGTTGTGCAGTTTGAATATCCTCTGAGCCTCACAGCATGTCACCCCCCGGAAGCCCAGTGGACACCCTAGCCTCCTCTTCTGGCTCAGAGTAGGAATTTGTCAGGACAAATACAGGAACTTCCAGAATGCTGTTCCCACCAGCTAGAGGGCTACTCCTCCCCCAGAGAAAAAAGGCCAAAAAAGACACTTACCCATCAGTGGAATGTCTGGTGCCACAGGTCCAATTGCAGAGTCATCGGTGGGGTCCCAGGGGACCCTCAGAGCCCACCTGGAGCAGGGAGAGGAGGTCTGTGCTGCGGGTTTCAGATTTGGAATAAATGCATTCTGTGCAGACTGGACAGTCAGCAGCCCCCAGGGACCTGAGCAGATCCCCCGACACATGCACACACACACACAGACACCCACCCCTACTCAGGTGTGTGGCCTTCAGACGTGGAACATATGGCCTGTCCCTAAGTGGCTCATCCTAAGGGACCCTGCCACCCTTGTTAGCTCAGAGCCCAGCAGAGCTGCAAAGTGTCCGCTTCCTCTGGACGCAGCTCAGCACAGCAGCTCGTGGGGGTTTCCAGCCTGGATTCTAACCGGCTTTCACTGTCTCCTTGTCCACCACGTGGCCTGCGCAAATCACTCCTCTCTGGGCTTCAGCTACTTCAGCTACAAAACCAGACAGCTGGACTGGGTATTTGACAGTCCCTTCCTCTCCATGGGTAGCCTAAGAACTAAAGGATAACCCAAGAATATGTCCCCTGTCAGGACATGGCTGGCCCCAGGACACAGGGAAGGTGCCAGGGAGAAAGTCCTACAGTTTCTGTGATGAGAGACACCAAGCCACAGCTGCTACTTCATGGACACCATAAATCATGAACATTTTCTCTTTGCTTTGGCTGCCAGGAAGCTCCTAGCCAGGTTTACACTCTATGCTCAGCAGGTGAACAGAAGCTTACTCAATTATCTGTCTTTACAGCTGCTGGATTTACCTGCCCTTATGTGTGCAGATTTCTGTATGTGCATCTCCTTCATGAAGGCACAGAGGTGATGGAGCTCCCTCAAAAGCCTTTGAGGATGAGTAGACAAGCTAATCCTAAGAAAGCCCTGCCAGGTCAATGCCATTGGCCCACTATGCAGGTGGCAGCCTGAGGCACAGAGAGGTAAACCAATTTGCCAAGGCCACACATCAGAGAAGCAGCAGAAGGGACCCCAGCTTGCTCTGCCTAGGACTCACATTACTCTCTGTCCACCCCATTGGCTACAGGCAGACCAAGACTCAAGTCCATGGGGCCCAGCACCACCCAGAACCACAGGGAACAGAGTGGCCATCTTGGTACCTACTGATGAAATGGAGTCAAGGGCTCTGGAGCAGCTGCCACTGTCACCTCCTTGGAAGATGTGCTGGGACTGGGAGACGAGGAGCCTGCTCCCAATGCCACCTTTCCCAGGGGGCCTCCCGAAGCCCGCCTGGGGGGCTGGGGGTCCTTCCCTGCATTTGTCATCATTCTCACATGGTGGTCAGGACACAGGACAAAGAAGGGCCCTTCAAAGGGACAGAGGTTGTCATCCAGGGTGACCAGACCAGGCAACTGTAGGTCTGCCAGGCAGGACCCTCACAGCCTGTGTGCTCCCTGACAGGAAGCACAGTGAGCACACCTGCAGGAGTCCCAGCTCCAATGTCTAGACCCCCAGGAGGCCCAAAGGAGGGGTCCAGCTCTAACTCGACTCGCCCTGTGGTGCTGACTCAGCCTCAGACTCTCTCCAGGCCTCAGTTTCCCCATCTGTGCTATTCAGTGGCAGGCATGTAATTCCCACAGCCCTTCATGCTTGGACCACCACAAAGGAGTCCAGCCACAGCCGGATGCCCCGTGCATGACCCCGGTGGGAGAGGCAGCTTCACACTCCCGTCCTGCAGACGTGGGGCCACCAAGCTAAAGTGAATGAGCCAGGAGTGCTGGCGGGGGCTATTTCCCATGCATCTCATCTCTTTGGAGGCTGCTAGTGTCCTTATAACCCTGTGACAGAGCACGGGGCATCTTATGTCAGGCCAAGGCCACAGTCTCCTGCCTGAAACACACCCTGCAACCTTCAGAGGCATCCCCGACCCCGTGTAGATTTAGCCATGGTCACCTTTGCCACCCCTGGTGCTCACCTTCTTGGACAAGGAGGCTCTCATACGTCAGCTTCAAGGTGTCCTCATCCACGTGCACACGGATGGCTGTCTCCTCCTCCTCACTGGGCGATAGCAGCCAGAAGGCCTGGTCCACCAGCAGGTTCTCCAGGCAGTGATGGGTGAAGCCTGCAAGACCAGGCCTTGTCACCAGTGGGCTCCAGAAGGGGCAGGGGAGTCTGCAAGGCCCTGGTACTGGCTGAGGTCTGCATGGACCAGACCCAGGGATGTCCTTATGACAGCCACCCTGCCCTGGGGAGCTCCCAGTTCCTCCATACCCTGGAGTCCACTGGCCTCACTGTCCTTGCTGTGTCATGTCAGTGGCCTCTCTGTGCCTCTGTATTTGCATGCCCAAGCTTGGAATTTAAGAGGGTGCTGGGCTGCAAGACATCAGTAATACAGAACACACTCGGAAGTCCTGGCTTAGTGTTTCTAGCTGATACTCTCTTTGCCCACATTCAGCAAGCCAGTGCTTGTTTTGGGGGTGTTGTGGTTGGGCCCCCTGTTTTGGGGCATGAGACTTTGTTAACCATAGCATAACCAGCAGGCATACCAGACTTGCTCCATTTTTAGGGAAAAGGCAAATGGAAAGCAAATCCTTCGTTTACATTAAATGTAGCACAGCCATTTAAAGACAGGGACCAGAAGGACCACTGCCTTCTATACAGCATGGTCTCCCATGACTGGTGCCTGGAGGGTGGACCAAGGACAAGCCAGCTCCTATAGGAACCAGTCTCCTCACACTACATAGGACAGAGTGTGCAGCAAGATCCCACCCCTGCAGGCTGGCTCCGGCCCTGCCCAAAGGTCAGATGGTTCTGATCCTCCAGCTTCCTCAGAAGATCACAAGTTGGGGAAGTTGTAGTCTAAGCATCCCCAAGAAGGTTGTGATGTTTAGCCCAGGTTAGAGCCTAGTCAGGTCTGAGCTCAGGACACCACACGGAGCCCAGCCCAGACCATGTCATATCCCTCTCCCTTCTCCAGTACAGTGCTTCTCCCCAACTCTGGGGTACATGTGTCTTTTTTGTGCTTTTCTGGAGAGGCTGCAGTGAGCCAACCTATTTTATAACACGGGTTTGTAACATAACGCACAAGGAGGTTATGAGTATCCACCAACAGGAGTCCCCACAATCAATTCTGGGAGGGTGGCTGCTTTACCAAGAGTGTGGTAGGTGGAAAACTTCCAGATTTCCTCAAAAGTCTTAAATGTCACCATGATCCGATCCTGGTCACTGTGGATAGATAACAGCCTGGCAGACAATTCCTTAAGAGAAAAATACAGGCATTACAGACATTCCCAATGGCTTTGGGATAGCTGACCATCAGAGAACAGGAGGTACAGGGTACTTTGTGAAGTGGCCCTTCTTGGGGGCAGTAAGTGGACAATGAGTTCCTTTGTGGCCAAGCCTGCTCCTCTCCTGCTCACAAGCCAACCATGGCTCCCCAGTGCCTGCAGGACAGAGCCCATGCTCCTTCTGCAGCATTATAGAGCTTCCTGCCCCAACCCCTCACCTTCTGAGCCTCTTCCTGCCCACTCCATCTGCCTTAATCTCTGCACACCAGCAACACCTCTGCTGATCCAGCCTAGGCTGTGCTCTTAGCCCTCTGTGACCTGGCCTTGCCTCTTGACCATACCTGAAGCATCCACTCAGGTTCAGTTCTAACTCCTGTGCCCCCCTCTGCTCTGATTTCCATAATATTATAGTGATAGGAACATTTAAAAAAAAACACCAGTGCTTGACATGGTGGCTCATGCCTATAATCCCAGCTACTCTGTAGGTGAAGATGGGAGGATCGCAGTTTTGAGGCCAGCCCAGGAAAACAGTTAGAGAGACCAATCTCAGTGAACAAGCTGGATATGGGTGTGCACCCCTGTGATTCCAGCTCTGCGGGAAGCACAGGTAGGAGAATTGTGACCCAGGATAGCTAGGCAAAAAGCAAGACCCCATCCAAAAAACAACTACAGCAAAAATGGCTGGAGGCCTGGCTCAAGTTGCAGAGTGCCTGCTTAGCAAGCACAAGGCCCTGACTTCAAACCCCAATGCTGCCCCCCCCAAAAAAATAACAACAACAAAACCAAATGAAAAAGGCAAAAAACAACCACACCAACTACCACTGAAAGTGTGGAGGGCAGGACGTTTACCATCTCCGTTTGAGAATAAAGGATAAATTTATTCTCCAAGGTCTGACCTGTTAGTGGGGCAGGCAGGATTCAAACCTCAAGCCAGCATGCTTAGCTCTCCTCAACCTGGGCAGAGCCCTGTTGTTGAGCCAGGCACCAAATCCTTGAATCAGCTGTCTGGAAACACGATTCTAAGCATCTCCAATGTGCAGCTGAGGAAGCTGGCTTCCCATAGGCTAGGGGCCACCAGCCAAGGCCAGGTCAGTCTGACCCCATGATGCTAACATCCAACCCACCCCTGAGCAGACTGAACCACTGCCATGGAGGGGCCTTCTGGCCCAGGCTGGCCTCCACTGTCCTCTGAGGAGAACTGTCTATGTGACTTTCTTCCTCTGTCCCTGCTTTCAGGGACAGGAGCTCCCTGAGCCCCTCCCACCCACTTTCCCAGCCCCTGGGAGCCAGACTCACCCCAAGCACACGGGCCACATCCCTGCTGTCATTCTCCAGCAAGCGAAGCCGGCCACGCAGAACCTGCTGCAGGCCGGGGTCTGGCAGCCCATTCTTCCTCCGTATTGCCAGCAGCTGCAGGGTCAGGTCTGGAGGGACAGATGAGGTCAGAGGTTTGCCTGGCCCTGTGGGGGATCTGAAGGGTGCACCCCAACCCCACCAGCCTCCACGCCACAGAACCAACACTGGAGTCCTGGGCCCTGGGCTCAGGGGGAGCCCGAGAGACCCAGGCTTAAACCACAACAAGGTTTTGCACCACCTGTAAAGGCCCTGGCTGTTGTTGCTGTCTGGCCTAGCACCCCTATCTGTGAATGCCTGTCCTCCAGGGACAGGGAACATGGGCAGCTGTTAACACCTGGCCTCAGTTTCCTTCACTGTACCTGGCCTGCAGGGTTCTTGTGCTCCACCCCTACAACAGGCCAGTACAAAGCATTCCAAGATGGCGGCTAGAGGGAGGAAGCAGAAAGCGAGCCTCCTATAGTGAAATCTTAGAGAGATGCTGGAGACACACCTTGCAGGCAAAGCCACCGAGAAGAGGCAAAACTTTGACCCCTCCACACCTCCAGCCTGCACAGAGAATCTCCACTTCACGTTAAACAGAGAAACCTGGAGGGCCCCCGGGCCACCAGACGCCCGTGCCCAGATGGCTTAGGAAAACATGGACAAGGTGAGCTTCGTGGTACGTGGTACTTCCACCGACAACCCTGGGCCAGAGCAGCATAGCCCCTGGACAGACCGACATCCACCCAGGGAAAAAAGAGAAACTGAGTAATAAGCAATAAGAACAAATAAAGACACTGGGGGGGGAGGGGAATCCCTCCCAGAACTGTAAATAAACAAGCCGGGCCTGGCTGGAGAGGGCGGGAGCGGGGGCAAGCGCCCAGTAATCAGGAGTGGGAAAGCTTGTGAGAGTGGCGGAGGGAGGAAAACTCCACAGGAGAGGGGGGAAGACCCACTTTCCACGTGAGCTGTAAACAAACACGCAGGCCTAAGAAAGTGAGTGCAGTGTCACCTCCCCCAGTGTGCTTGGAAAGGGAAAGCCGTAGCAGCGGCTCGCGCACAGGAGAACTCTGAGTAAACAAAGCCTGCGGGGCCAGGTGAGTGCTAAGCTCACCCCAGAGATCTGCATAAATAAAGCCTCCAGCAACAGTAGGCTGACAGCAGCGGGCAGGCAAGCCACAGCTGCAGATACCATTCACAGACCTGTCTCCAGACTCTTTTTTCCTCTCTCCCTACCTTTGATGAGAAAACAACCGAACTACACCTGCATGCTGAAAAACTTACTGAAATCGTATTGCATTTGAACTTGGGACACTTTGTGGGGTTTTTTTTTGTGCAGTTTTGTTCTACTTTATGTTTCCCCTTTGATGAGACAACTACAGAACAACATCTGAGGCACCACCTCCAGGACTGGAGGCTGAGGGACGAACACCAAAATTATTAAGACTGAAACTTCATTGCATTTGAACTTGGAGGGTTTTTTTTATTTTCTATTTTTTATTTTGTTTTATTTTATTTTATTTATATATATAGTTTTCTCTTTCATTTACTTATTTTTTATTTTTATTCTTATCTTTATTCTTTTTATTTTTTATTTTTAATCCACTCTCTGTCTCTCTAATGCCTTTTCAGCTTATGGTTGATTAGTACACTGTCTCTCCCTGTTTATATCTTTGGAACTTTTTGGTTTGTTTCTTTGTTTTGTTTTTTTCTTCTACTTGATTATTTGTTTTTCCCTTTTCCTTTAACTTCTTTGCTTTCCATCCCCTCTCACCCTTCCATTCTAAATATTACTAGTGCTGTTATTACAGCCAGAAAATACTTAATTGCACACAGTACAGGGACAATAACAACACCAAGGACAACGACAGGAAGACAGAAAAAACAGGGAAACCAGTTTCCCCACAGCAAAAAATTAGTACAGGAACCAGAGGGAATGAAGAAAACAGACACTCAGATCCAGACTCCAACAAAATGAAGATAAACTATGCCAAAGAACCCAATGAAGCCCACAAGAATAATTTAAAAGAAGACATACTACAGGTACTCAATGAGAATTTTATAGAGATGATACTGGATATGGTCAACCAAAATGTACAGGAGACACCCAAGAAATTCCAAGACAGCAAAAACAGAGAATTTGAAAAAGCAAAAGAAGAAATAAAGGAAACCATAGAGGCACTGTATAAACACCAAAGTGAAACAGAGAACACGATGAATGAACAGATAAATGAACTCAGGACAAAAATAGACAACATTAAAGAGTAAATGACCCAGGATGTGGAAAACCTCAGAAAAAAGAACAAAACAGAATTGGAAAACAAAACAGAAGGCCAATCCAGCAGAATAGAACAAACAGAAGAAAGAATCACAGAACTCGAAGATGAAATGGTAATTAAAGGAAAAACCAAAGAACTATTAATTAAACAACTCAAGACCTGTGAAAAGAAAATGGAAGAACTCACCGACTCCATCAAAAGACCAAACTTGAGAATCATGGGCATCGAAGAAGGAGAAGAGGTGCAAGCAAAGGGAATGCATAATACATTCAACAAAATAATAACGGGAAATTTCCCAAATCTAGAGAAAAATAGTCCCATACTGATGCAAGAGGACTCCAGGACACCAAACAGATCAGATCAAAATAGAACTACCCCATGACATATCATCATTAAAACAACAAGTTCAGAAACTAAGGAAAGAATATTGAAGGCTGTAAGAGAGAAAAAACAAGTAACATACAAAGGTAAACCCATCAAAATCACAGCAGACTTCTCAACAGAAACATTAAAAGCAAGAAGAGCGTGGGGTGAGATCTTCCGGGCACTGAATGAAAATAACTTCAACCCCAGGATACTCTACCCAGCAAAACTATCATTCAAAATAGATGGAGCAATAAAAGTCTTCCATGATAAGCAGAAACTAAAACAGTATGTGAACACAAAGCCACCACTACAAAAGATTCTTCAAGGGATTCTGCACACAGAAAGTGAAACCCAACTTAACCATGAAAAGACAGGCAGCACCAAACCACAGGAAAAGAAAAAGCAAGACAATAGAGAGTAACATCAAGTTAGGTACACACAATCAAACCTTCAAACAACTAAGACAACTAAATGACAGGAATCACCACACACCTATCAGTACTAACACTTAATGTTAACGGACTTAATTCACCCATCAAAAGGCACCGCTTGACGAAATGGATTAAAAAGAAAGATCCAACAATTTGTTGCTTACAGGAGACCCATCTCACTGACAGAAATAAGCATATGCTTAGGATGAAAGGCTGGAAGAAGATTTACCAAGCCAATGGCCCCCGAAAACAGGCAGGAATAGCAATACTTATCTCTGACAAAGTAGACTTCAAACCTACATTGATCAAACGAGATAAAGAAGGACATTCCATACTAATAAAAGGGGAAATAGACCAAAAGGAAATAATAATCATCAACCTATATGCACCCAATGTCAATGCACCCAATTTCATCAAACATACCCTGAAAGACCCAAAAGCATATGTTAACTCCAACACAGTGGTCGTGGGAGACTTTAACACCCCATTATCATCAATAGATAGGTCATCCAAACAAAAAATCAATAAAGAAATCCAAGATCTAAAAATACAATAGATCAAATGGACCTAGTTGATGTCTACAGAACATTTCATCCAACTTCTACACAATATACATTCTTCTCAGCAGCCCATGGAACCTTCTCCAAAATAGATCATATCCTAGGGCACAAAGCAAGCCTCACCAAATATAAGAAAATAGAAACTGCTGTACCATTCATACTATCTGATCACAATGCAATAAAACTAGAACTCAACAACAAAAGTAAAGACAAAAAACATGCAAACAGCTGGAAACTAAATAACTCATTACTTAATGAACAATGGATCATCGATGAAATAAAAGAGGAAATTAAAAAGTTCCTGGAAGTCAATGAAAATGAAAACACAACCTACTGGAACCTATGGGACACAGCAAAGGCAGTCCTGAGAGGAAAGTTTATAGCCATGAGTGCATATATTAAAAAGACTGAAAGATCCCAAATCAGTGACCTAATGATACATCTCAAACTCCTAGAAAAACAAGAACAAGCAAATTCCAAAACAAATAGAAGGAGAGAAATAATAAAAATAAGAGCTGAAATCAATTAAATAGAAACCAAAAAAAACCATACAAAGAATGAATGAAACAAAAAGTTGGTTCTTTGAAAAAATAAACAAATCGACAGACCCCTGGCAAACCTGACTAAAATGAGGAGAGAAAAAACCCAAATTAGTAGAATCAGGAATGCAAAAGGGGAGATAACAACAAACACCATGGAAGTCCAGGAAATCATCAGAGACTACTTTGAGAACCTATATTCAAATAAATTTGAAAATCTTAAAGAAATGGACAGATTTCTAGATACATATGATCATCCAAAACTGAACCAAGAGGAAATTAATCACCTGAATAGACCTATAACACAAAATGAAATTGAAGCAGCAATCAAGAGTCTCCCCAAAAAGAAAAGTCCAGGACCTGATGGATTCTCTGCTGAATTCTATCAGACCTTTAAAGAAGAACTGATACCAACCCTCCTTAAACTGTTCCACGAAATAGAAAGGGAAGGAAAACTGCCAAACACATTTTATGAAGCCAAAAAGGAGAACTATAGGCCAATCTCCTTAATGAACATTGATGCAAAAATCCTCAACAAAATAATGGCAAACCGAATTCAACAACACATCAAAAAGATTATTCACCACGACCAAGTAGGCTTCATCCCAGGAATGCAAGGGTGGTTCAACATACGAAAATCAATAAATGTAATAAACCACATTAACAAAAGCAAAGACAAAAACCACTTGATCATCTCAATAGATGCAGAAAAAGCCTTTGATAAGATCCAACATCATTTTATGATAAAAGCTCTAAGAAAACTAGGAATAGAAGGAAAGTCCTCAACATTATAAAAGCTATATATGACAAACCTACAGCCAGCATTATACTTAACGGAGAAAAACTGAAACCATTCCCTCTAAAATCAGGAACCAGACAAGGATGCCCACTATCTCCACTCCTATTCAACATAGTACTGGAATTCCTAGCCAGAGCAATTAGGCAAGAAGAAGGAATAAAAGGAATACAAATAGGTAAAGAAACTGTCAAAATATCCCTATTTGCAGATGACATGATCCTATACCTTAAAGACCCAAAAAACTCTACTCAGAAGCTTCTAGACATCATCAATAGCTATAGCAAGGTAGCAGGATATAAAATCAACATAGAAAAATCATTAGCATTTCTATACACTAACAATGAGCAAACTGAAAAAGAATGTATGAAAACAATTCCATTTACAATAGCCTCAAAAAAATCAAATACCTAGGTGTAAACCTAACAAAAGATGTGAAAGACCTCTACAAGGAAAACTATACACTTCTGAAGAAAGAGATTGAGGAAGACTATAGAAAGTGGAGAGATCTCCCATGCTCATGGATTGGTAGAATCAACATAGTAAAAATGTCGATACTCCCCAAAGTAATCTACATGTTTAATGCAATTCCCATCAAAATTCCAATGACATTCATTAAAGAGATTGAAAAATCTACTGTGAAATTTATATGGAAACACAAGAGGCCACGAATAGCCAAGGCAATACTCAGTCAAAAGAACAATGCTGGAGGTATCACAATACCTGACTTCAAACTATATTACAAAGCAATAACAATAAAAACAGCATGGTACTGGCACAAAAACAGATATGAAGACCAGTGGAACAGAATAGAGGACCCAGATATGAAGCCACACAACTATAACCAACTTGTCTTTGACAAAGGAGCTAAAAATATACGATGGAGAAATAGCAGCCTCTTCAACAAAAACTGCTGGGAAAACTGGTTAGCAGTCTGCAAAAAACTGAAACTAGATCCATGTATATCACCCTATACCAATATTAACTCAAAATGGATCAAGGATCTTAATATCAGACCCAAACTCTAAGTTGATACAGGAAAGAGTAGGAAATACTCTGGAGTTAGTAGGTATAGGTAAGAACTTTCTCAATGAAACCCCAGCAGCACAGCAACTAAGAGATAGCATAGATAAATGGGACCTCATAAAACTAAAAAGCTTCTGTTCATCAAAAGAAATGGTCTCTAAACTGAAGAGAACACCCACAGAGTGGGAGAAAATATTTGCCAGCTATACATCAGACAAAGGACTGATAACCAGAATATATAGGGAACTTAAAAAACTAAATTCTCCCAAAACTAATGAACCAATAAAGAAATGGGCAAGTGAACTAAACAGAACTTTCTCAAAAGAAGAAATTCAAATGGCCAAAAACACATGAAAAAATGCTCACCATCTCTAGCAATAAAGGAAATGCAAATTAAAACCACACTAAGATTCCACCTCACCCCTGTTAGAATAGCCATCATCAGCAACACCACCAACAACAGGTGTTGGCGAGGATGCGGGGAAAAAGGAACCCTCTTACACTGCTGGTGGGAATGTAGACTAGTACAACCACTCTGGAAAAAAATTTGGAGGCTACTTAAAAAGCTGGACATCGATCTACCATTTGATCCAGCAATACCACTCTTGGGGATATATCCAAAAGACTGTTACTCCAGAGGCACCTGCACATCCATGTTTATTGCGGCACTATTCACAATAGCCAAGTTATGGAAACAGCCAAGATGCCCCAGCACTGACGAATGGATTAAGAAAATGTGGTATCTATACCCAATGGAATTTTATGCAGCCATGAAGAAGAACGAAATGTTATCATTCGCTGGTAAATGGATGGAATTGGAGAACATCATTCTGAGTGAGGTTAGCCTGGCCCAAAAGACCAAAAATCGTATGTTCTCCCTCATATGTGGACATTAGATCAAGGGCAAACACAACAAGGGGATTGGACTATGAGCACATGATAAAAGCTTTAGCACACAAGGGAGGGGTGAGGATAGGTAAGACACCTAAAAAACTAGATAGCATTTGTTGCCCTTAACGCAGAGAAACTAAAGCAGATACCTTAAAAGCAACTGAGGCCAATAGGAAAAGGGTCCAGGAACTAGAGAAAAGGTGAGATCAAAAAGAATTAACCTGGAAGGTAACACCCACGCACAGGAAATTAATGTGAGTCGATGCCCTGTACAGCTATCCTTATCTCAACCAGCAAAACCCCTTGTTCCTTCCTATTATTGCTTATACTCTCTCTTCAACAAAATTAGAGATAAGGGCAAAATAGTTTCTGCTGGGTATTGAGGGGGTGGGGGGAGAGAGGGAGGGGGCGGAGTGGGTGGTAAGGGAGGGGGTAGAAATGACCCAAGCCTTGTATGCACATATAAATAATAAAACAAACAAACAAACAAAAACAGGCCAGTGCAGAGCAACTCTTCAGTGAGTGGTTCCTCGTCACCATAACTTCCAGCCCCATCTCTGCCCTCAGCCCCAGCTCTGGACACCACCTCCAACTTTGAGCAGCCCAGACATCTCCATCCCTCCTTCCCGGCTCCTTCTCATCTTTCTTGTCTCCAAAAGCACCCCTACCACCAACCTGTCACATACCACAGTAACCAGGCAGCCAGTCCCCGAGTCCCACCCTCCACCTCAGCCCATGCTTCACACAGCCCTGGCCTGGTGACAAGATGGCAGCTAGTTGGCCTGGGCCTCCTTCAGACAATACCCTGGGCTGGGCCAGCACAAGGCTGCCATAACACGCTCCAACTTAGCCTGGCTCCTGACCCTCTGGGCAGCAGGACAGACATGTCTGTGTCTGCAGGGTAGACATGCCCTCTTTACATGCTCCAGGCTGCAGAGCTCTTGAGAGAACTAGGCCTTTTGTTCATTCTAGGTAGAGTTGAATGCAAGCCGCCTCTTGTGGCCAGGGTGGCCTACGAGAAAACACAGCTGCAGAGGTCTCCATTCACTGTAGAACAAAACCAAGTTCCTTCACACGCTACACAGCCTGAGCCTCTGGTCCTGTTTGGTCCTTTCTGCTGCCCCAAGACACCAAGGTACCCCTAGCCTTGGGCAAGGTACCCCTAGCCTTGTCCCAGGACCTTTGCTCTCACCATGACCTCTGTCAGCCCCAGAACCTCTCCTACACTGGGTCCTCACTGGTTGCTGCCCTGAACAGCTCTTAGCTGGGATACCACCCCTCCCTGCCACCCTACAGGGATCCTGAGTCTTGTCCCTCTCTGAGGCTGGCTATTGCTCCCAGGCTCTTGGGGAAGTGACTATGTCTGCCCCAGTGCGTGGAAATGCTGAGAAAATTGGCCTCCTGTCAAGACACAGCCCCAAGGCTCTGACTGTGGGTTTTTCAGAATGGGGGCTGCCGGCCCTCCACAGATTGGGAGTTGCTTGGAGAAGGGGGAGGGAGTGAGCAAGGAGAGAGGAAAGAAAAGAGTTAAGAGGGAGAGGCAGGTAAGAGAGAGACCAGTTGCCCACACCCTTGGGATAAGCTTGGAGCACCCATCTTCTAACCTGTGGCCTGGGAGCCCTGAAGCTGCCACCCCGCCCCATGTAGGGGAAGAGCCAGTGGCTGAGCAATGTGGAGACTTCTGTAATCTAGAGGAGCCCCTCCCATAAGAGGAAGCCACGCACAGCATTTCACAAGGTCTGAGCCTCTGCTCCATGAAGAGGGCAGGCATTGCATTTTCCAGGCCCAAATGGTCTGTGCCGTGGGCCGATGTGCTGATTATCCAGAATAACAGAGCAATGATCTCTCAAGTGGAAAGACAGGGGCTGGGCAGGCGTCATAGCCATGGTAAAAGTGTGGCCAAGAGAGTTGGGGCTCAGTTTATCCATAGCCAGTGTTGGGGCAGCCATTGGGGGTATAGGGCTTCATATGCCTAGGAGTGCAGGGCTCTCCCCACCCCCACCCCAACCCAGGGCTGCCTCCCACCATCCTTGGCAAATGCTAGGGTCCTTGGAGCCCCTCCCTGGGAAGCCTGCATGCCTCTGCATCCCTCTAACAGAGTGGCCACTTCCACTCAGTTCTTGCCACAGCCCTTGGGCATGACCTCCCTGGGGGCCACTCATGGGTCTCTCCCACCTGGGTAGATGCAGACTGAGGTCCAGGGAAGCCTTTACTGAAGCCACATGGCCGTGAGCACAGGCTGATGCTGGCTTTCCAGACCTGCCTTCTTTCCAGGGCTGCCTTCTCTCAGCAACCCTGAAGCAGGGTCTCTGGGCCTGGGGTAGGCAGCTGCACTGAACCAGCCCCTGCCCAGCCCTGTGTGACGCTAAGGTGGGAAGTCAGGCCATGCATGATGAGCCCCGAGTGAGGCACTGACAGGTGCACAGGATGCTCCACGCTTCCTGCAGTTTGGATCTGGAATGTCCCCCAAAGTCTCATGTGCTAAAGACTTGGTCCACAGCCTGTGGCACTGTTAGGAGGCAGTGATGCTTTTCAAAGGTGGGGCATAGTGGGAGGTTTGTGGGAACCCCAGTCTCTTCTGCTTTCTCTTCAAATTCCTGACCATGAGGTGAGCAGTGTCGCTGTGCCCTGTGCTCCTGCCACAATGTGCCACCCCATCGGTCCAAAGCGAGAGGCAACCTGCCATGGACTGAAACCTCTGAAACTCTGAGTGCACATAACCTACCCTTCACAAGCCCATATTATCTCAGGTGTTTTGTTACAGTAGCAGAAATTCAATTAACACAACACTCCAGGATTGCCCCTGGGCGTGATATAGGGCCCAGGATACTCACCTGTGGGGTACACTGCCATCTGGCTAGAAGGGGTCCCAGCAGCTGGTCCAGCAATGTCAGGCAGAGGACTGGTGTCTGCAACAGAGTGGGTTCCTGTGATAGGCGGTGGGGGGTGGGGGTGAAGGGGGAGAGGGGGGGTAAGAAGCACCTCTCCAAACACCCAGGTCTCTCTGGAAGAAGAGAGGCATCAACACCCACAGCCTCCTTTCCCTTTGGTCACCCGCCCCACCACACCAAAGCCTAGCAAGGAGGGGGCTGCATGTTCCCCCTTGGTGGCATGACACAGCCCCAAATGAGGTGGCTTGCAACAACACAAATATGTTATCTTGTCTTTTTGGAATTCGGCTGGGATAAGCAGGGCTAGTTCCTTCTGCAGACTCCAGAGGAGGATCCACTTCCTTCCTTCTCCAGCTCCAGGAGGCTATATGCCTCTCAGGCTCACAGTTCAGCCTCCAACTGGAGACTCTGACTCTGACTCCTGCCTTCATGGTCATGTCTCTTTCACTGCTCCTCCTCCCCATAAAGACTCTTGTGTGTCATTTGGGGCCCATCCGGATGACCCAGGATAACCTCTCTTCTCAAGACCCCAAATTTCATCCCATATGCAATTTCCTTTTGCCATATGAGGTGGCATAGTCACAGGTGCCAGAATAAAGACATGGACATCTCAGCCACCATTATTCTGCCCACCACAGAAGGGGTGACAGCACTGTTGGGGTCTCAGGGCCAGACAGTGCTGCATCCTGATCTGTCTCAGCGCCACTCACTGGTGCCCTGGGAGACGGGTAGTGTGGGACTTGCAATCTGGTCAAAGACCAGTAAGACCCCAGTAGTGTGGGGTCAGAGGAGGTGCTACTCATGGCCAGAGTAGGATGTGAACTGTGCCAATGGCTCCTTTGGTGCTGCTGAGTCCCTGGGGCCAGGGCCAGAGGCCAGCTCCCACTCTTACTGCCTGCAAGCTGGAATCACAGCCAGGGCCCCTCAACTCTGTCCTGCTCTACTTCCTCACCTGAAACGAGGTGAAGCATGAAGCCTCAGGATCAAGGGATGGGAATCGAGAAGGTTATGTTGGCTTAGAGCGTGCTGAAATTCAGCACAGCCATCTTTGTGACCCTGGAGACACAGAGCAGTGGGTATGGCTCAGCTTGGTCATGTTGTCCTTAGATCTGGTCACCAAGTTCATTTCACACAGCGTTTGTTGATCCTGGCCTTGTGGCATCTTGTCTGACTCCACTCACAGGACTCACTCTTTCTGTACCCCGAGGACCAAGGCCAGAGCTGAGCCCACAGCAGGGGCTCAGCAGTGGCTGTCAAGTCAAAAAAACTACATGGAAACCTTAGGTCATGGTTTATCAATGCCACCCTCCAGTACCAAAGTCAAGGCTCCCTGGAGCAGGGGATGTGAAGATGAGCCTGGGATCTCTGCAATCCCAGAAAGTGAGGGCATGCTTGCAGCACAATGGGAACACAGCAAAAGCCACTGAGGGCCACTTGGTCAACGGGAGATGGTGGTGGTGAAAGTCCAGAGACTGAAGACCTGTGAGCTCACACTGAAGTGAGTGAGAGCCTGGGAGAAAGCCAGTGAGTGGAGGTACAAGGGGTGAGACATCAGGAAGCCACCACTTTGCCACCATCATCATAGTTATCACTCTACCCTAGAGCGATCAGGGAGGAAAAAGCTAGTGCTTTGTGAGCTTGGTGAGAGGACACTCAGTGTGGGCGTCTTCCCGAGAGGTGCTGATGGACAGCAAAGGGAAAAGTGTAACTTTCTACTGGAGAAAACCAGGAGACACTCCCTACCCAAGGGACTAACGTTAGTGTTGCAGCTGGGGCTATGGCTCAGTGGTGGAACCTGTGCCTAGCAAATCAGCTTCACCAGGAGCCACACAAATCCACATCGTGGGCATCGCTACACACTGCACAGAGGGGACAGCTCACATCTGTGGCACTCCTACTCTAAACCCTGATGTGATCCCAAAGATACATCAGCAGGACCCAATGATAGACATTCTCACGAAAACTGGACCATGTTCTTCAAAAGAGCGACCTCCTGATTAAAAGGCACTGCCAAGAGGTGGTGAGCACACCCAAGCATTACCTGAGACTTCCATGGGCTCCCAAGGACATTCTTGGGATGACCTACAATGCTCTGAATAAGGTCTGTAAGTCAGATAACAGTATTGTCAAACCAGAAGATTACCCATAAATCCCAGCACTATGGTTTTGTAAGAAGGTCCTTGTTGGGAAATGTAGACACCTTTCAAGATGAAAGGCTTCATGTCTGTAATTCAGAAAAAATGAGAGAGAGAGAGAGAGAGAGAAAGGGAGCAAAGAGAAGGGCCAGTGTGCTTGTGCAGCCTCCAGAGGGCGCACCTGTCAGTATTGTCACCTCATTGCTTCCCATGTCAGCCACTGCTCCCTTCTCTGACACACACAGCCCCTCCCTGGCTGAGGTGACTCTGGGGCAGGCTGTTCTGACACATGTATGTCGTGATTTCTGTGCATTCCGTGGCTCCACCCATGCCTCCAGCCCTCCCTCCTGACAGGACCACTTCCCCTTGTGAGTCAGCACCCAGGAGGCCACCTGGTCCCTCCCCATCTCCTCCCACAGGGGAAGGACTGAGGTAAGAAAGCTCTCTGGAAGTCCAGGGTCCACATGTCACGGCCCAGGCCAGGCACCTGCCCAGGATGCATTGATTTCCTTCTCCCAATGTGTCAGTCACTCACCCATCACTTGGCACTGATAGAGTATGTGCCATCCCTGGGGACCAGAGACAGGGAACAGCCAAGCAAGTTGCAGGATAAGTCAGACTATGTGAAGAGACTCTGGTGTCCACCAGTTCTCTCTCCCAGGGTCCAAAGAGGAGGGAGTCCTGGAGGTCACTGAGGCTGCCTCTCAGGTTTCCAAGTGGGGAAACTGAGGCCCATGTCAAACAATGGCCCATTGACAACCAAGATTAGAGCCAGGTCTCCTGGGTGCAACCCTTCCTGGCTTCTCCATCATAGCCCTCCTGTGACTACCTGGTGGCCAGGGAGAAGGCATCTCCACCAAGGCCCTCAGGAGACTGACCTGGCCACTCATTGGTCACCATGGGGCCTGGACAGATCCTCTCCCCTCTCCAGGGCTTGGTTTGCCTCTTGGGGAACGAGGGCCCCCTGTCCTGAGTAATCCCAGAGTTTACAAGGACAAGACAGGACTGATGGCAGAGGTGTACATCAGTGTATTTCTAGAAGTCCCTGGATGGACGGTCGGCTTGCAGGCCCTTCCCTGAGCTCTGCCAGCTTTCCTATCACTGATGCCCTGAAAAACACAAGCCTGACCCCAGTTGACAAATGACTCTCAGGACCTAGGAAAGGAGAAGCACTGGGCAGACAGCAGCTCAGAGGGAGGAGGGAGCCCAGGCCTCAGAAACTGCACTCACCACTTGTGACTGTGGCCTTGGCCTCCCCTGGCCCTGCTCGCTCCTGTCCAGTGGGTGAGTTCATGGGCATACTCTGGACCTTGCTCCCATGGCTGTAGCTTCCTGAGGGTCCTGCACGCCCCCTCCCCATGGTAGTCACATCTGCAGGGTCCTTCATGACCCACAGACGCCTCAGGGTTGAGAGCTTGGCATTCCGGTGGCTTTCTGTGGAGAGAGGACAGGGCAGTCAGCAGAGATGCATCTCCAGGGAGACAGGCTACCAGGGTCAACATAAGGTCATTGCCAGAGTTGGGGGTCAAGGAGAGAGAAGACTGGCATTGAAGGGGTTCCCTTTGAGACCCAGTGGGGGCCCTTGCTCCCAGCAGGTGGCTTGGCATGGAGGGCCAGGGTATATGACCTGCATCCCTTCCCCCTACTCAGGCCACCTTGCCAGCACTCTTTGGTCCCTCGAATTTGCTGGGCTCCCTGCTACCACAGGACCTTTGCTTAGGCTGTTACTTTTGCCTGGACAGCTCCTTCTCCCCTTTGACGGGTGAACCCCACATATCCTTTCAGAGCTCAACTTGGCCTTTTCCTCCTCAATTTGGCCAAGTCCCCTGGAAAGGCTCTGTCAGAGTCATGCACCACAGTGGATGTCAAAGCTGTCTCACTAACAGGCTGGGTGTCCTTTGAGGGCTGGTGGGGGTCTCCCTTCTTTCTTACTTAACAGGTCTCTGGGAAACAGCTCTGGGCCTGGCTGGTGAGCACTAATCAGATCAGACAGCCCTGTAGATGACCAAACACTTCTGTAGGACTGTTTAGATAGCAGAGTTCATGTTCCCACTGGACACCCAGGGGACTTGGTTTCCTGTTAAACCCACCACACACCCCAGCCAACTAGAGCCTAGTGGGCTGGTTCCCCCAGAGAGATGACATGTCTCCTCAGGAGGCCAGGGAGGAACCTCGGTTTTGCACAGTGATGCAGTTCTGGTCCCTGAGATCTCAACTGTGCTGGGTTCTGGCCATAGATTTCCAAAAGACACTGCTGCTACCCCCCTGAGCTCAGCCTCCCCCTCCAGAAGAGTCTGTATGAAGCCAGAGAGCCCAGACCTCAGGGTTCCCTAGGAGGGAGGGAAGCACGCAGAGGGGGGAAGGGAGAAGGGATGAGGTGAACCCCTTGGATGAGGAGCGATCACTATGTCTCACCCTTTCCTGGAGTCAAAAGTAAATGAGAGGGGCTGAGAGCATAGCTCAGTGGCAGAGCACTTGCTTAGAATGCATCCTGGGTTCAATTCACACCACAAGAAAAAAGAAGAAAGCAAACGATGTCCATTATAACCTAAGGACTGTGCTCCTGGGGTCAAAGGACAAAGAATGACATAAATTCCCTTTCTGACATCAAATGCAGGTGCAGGGGCCACAGGCAGAGCATGGAGCAGAGACAAGGCTGTGGAGCATGGGGAAGACTCCCGGGTTTGGCCACTGGGACAGGGTTAGTCACATGCCCTTCAGAGAGAGCAGAGTGGCCACCAATGGCTCTTCCCGCTCACAGGGAAAGTTGGCAAAGCATGATCTGAATATTCCAGCCATTGGCTGACCGTGAGCTGGGAAGTCTCAGTCCTGCCTTGCAGAGTACAGGCAGAGTCCCTCTGTCCCAACTCACTGGATCAAAGCGCAAGGCTGGCTTTCTCCAACCCGCCCTCTTTCTCAGGGTGCTCAGCAGCAGACCTGGAGAGCGCCTGCCAGCAGCATGGGGTTAGTGTCCAGATATGCTGCCAGCCCAGCCACCCTGCTCACGTCTCCTGCAGTCCCAGAGCTAGGAACTTGTGGGAGGCAGCCTGGGCAGCTGCAGAAGTGCCCCGGGTCTAGGATCATGGGGGCATGACACGAGGGAGCACCCTCGAAGGCAGAGAGGCACCACCGAAGCCCTTCACTGGGACCACTGGGTTGGGGTCTGAGAGTTTGCTCCGATACTTGCCCAGAGTGTGCTAGATGGCACAGGCTAGAGGCGGTGCCACAGGGGTGCTGGGCTTGTCTCTTTCCTCACCTCAAATTCTTACCAAAAGTGTGACAGCCGAGTCTTCATTGGACAACACAGGATGCCTTCTTACCTACATTGGGAGCTACAGACCTGACCCCAGCCTTGGCCCCTTCCCTATTCCTCTCCACTCCTGCCCAAGAGCCACCCAGGCCTTTGGCACTGGCCAAGCTGGACAGGTCTGCCCCGAGAGTCCCAGAATGGGTGCAGAGTGCCCTGGAGACCTCAGCACCTCTCCCAGGGACATTTAGCACAGGTTTAGGGAGACCTGGACAGGTGTGTCAGGGATGGACAGGATAGCTGGTGCAGCATGCACCCCCATGGATGCTGCTGGCCCCTGACGACTGGCTTTGACCCAACTTGCAGCACAGACTGTAAAACGGGGATCAGAGGAAACTGAGATCAGAGGACTTCTGTAGTTTTAACAAACCCTGCATCCCTCTGCGTCCCAGCTGCCCCCACCCTATGCCAGCTCTGCACTAGGCAGCTGGGATGCAGAGGGAGGACACCCACCAGCCTGCTGGTAACTGGGAATTCAGATATCATAAGCAGTGACAGCTCCAGGTGGCACAGTCTGTGATGGGAAGAGAGCAGCACCTCATCCCAGAGGGAGGGGTGGGGAATGGGACAGTGAGGAAGGGTCTCTGGAAGGGGGGGTGGTCTCTCAATCAAGGGCTTTAGCCCCTGGTAGCCAAGCACTAGCAAGACTTGCAGACGTGACAATCCTGGAGCTGTGAGGTGGCTTCAGGGAGCTCCCACCCGCACACCTGCTCCACATGTACACTGGTCAGTTTGTGGCCAAATTCATCTCTAAGGGCAGGGACAAAAACTAGGGTGGGCATCTCATGCCAACGGTACCAAGGAGACCTGGTCCCCTGCAGACAGTCCTTCCCTAGTGGGGGAAGGAGGGGTAGGCTGATGACTGTCACTCCCCTGAGGAAAGGAACAGAACTGCAGGCACTGGAGCCTGGTGCTGGGGTGGGATATGTGATCCTGTGGGTCACAATGTTGCATACCAGGTCAGGTCCCATATCTATGCTTTCCCTGTACCCCCATCCCTGGATGCTGTCTCCACCCGGTCACGCCTGAGGTCCTCCTCGGCATCCTTCAGGCTGCAGCCAGGCACCCCTGCCACCCTTCCAGCCTCAAGTTCAGCCTGCACCCTGGACTTTGTGTCCTTCTCCTTGTTTTGCCAAACTGCCATCCTGGCTCCCACTGGTCACCTACTGCCTGGCCCAGGTCTGCAAGGACCTTCGAGGCCAAGCCTGTCTTCCCAGCTGAGGCACACAGAGGAGAGGTGTCTCAACAGAGCACCTGAATCCCACCTGTGATGTTCAAGGTCCTGGCTTATAGGGCCTGTGCCTCCCGCCCCTGTCTAGACCCAACCATGGGTCCTGCCCTCCCCTTCCTGCCACTCTGACTGTCCACAGCCAGGAGGATGTCCCCACGTGCAGGTAGAACAGGCCTCCCAGCTGCTGGGCAGGCGTTAGCACCAGCTGCCAATGCTGAGGGCATCTGCTCCCTTCCTGCCCACCTTCCCTGGGTCAGGAACAGGCTCATTTGAGGAGGGGAGGTCTCAGGGTCCCGGGCACAGAGCCAGCACTCAGGGTATGTCCTGAGAACAGGAGGGATCCCTGGCTGAGGGAACTTCCCACCTGCTTGCCCAGGCACGAGAAGCTGCGATACATGTAGGGCTCCCACTCAGGCCTCCGCTTCCAGCCCCACTTCCGTAGCACAGCCCTCTCCCTGCTGTTTCAGCGAATAGCCCTCTGCCTCACAGGCCTTCTAGGCCCATGGCAGAAGTGGCTCAGACCCAAGCCCTAGGCAGCATCTGGCCCCTTGCCTCAGTTTACCCACCTAGAAAATGAGAATGAAAACACCAGTTCATAAGGAGATCGGGTGGGTGAAACAGACGGTGCTACGGTTTACAGTCAGTGTTTAATACAGGCGGGCTGGAGGCAGGACATGCTCCTTCAGTCCTCACTGGGGCTGAGGGGGTCTGACTGGCACTCTCACCAGGTTCTGCTCAGGGACCATGGGGACCTTGTCCACCTCACCAAGAAGCACCCCTGGAGACTTGACTTGTCACTCCACGTGGGGGTGAACACTGTCCCCCCAACATTCGTGCCACAAGGCACCTCAGGCAGGGTGCTTCTTTACCAATAGGATTTTGCAGATGACGTGAGCCTCAATTAAGAAGAGTGGTACTGGGTGAGGGTGGCACTCCGCCCAGCACCTGAGGTCCTTATGAAGAAAAGAGACATACAGAGAGGGAGGAGGCAGCCAGGTGATCACAGAGGCAGAGGTGATGTGGCCACAAGCCACAAGGAACATCTGGGGCCCTAGAAACTAAAGAGGGAAGATCCCTCCTTTCAGGCCTCTGGAAGGAGCCTGGCCCTGCCCACACCCTCTCTCTGACTCCTGGCCCACAGAGCTCTGAAGACATCATTTGCTCTGGCAGCCATGGGCACCGCCATGCCCTGTAACTGTCCTCTGTGGTAGGGCTAACAGCATTCATGTCATTGGATTTGTAAGCATGAGCATAAATTGCTGGCACCGTGCCTGAGACAGGAAGCCTCGTGTCAACATATTGACAGACACCTAACGGGGCCCTGCTCAGGAGCACCTCAGCCCTCACCTTTAACCTTTAACCTGGATGATGGAGAAGCCACTGCACCCACGTCACAGCTATGTGTTCTAAGGCTCAACCTGCCGGGGTCACACCATCAGGCAGCAGGTGAGGTTTTAACCCAGCCGGGTCAGTCTGCATGCCCACCTCAACCTTGATGCCCCAGCTTGTGCCCCTGGTCGCCTCCAAGTACAGGCTCAGCCCTGGCCCCCCACATCAGTGCTGGGAGGACATGTCTGAGTGACCAGTTTGAATAGGCTGCTCCTGCTCCAGCCTTGGTCAGCACCATTAACTCACCGGATGTCACTGTGTCTGAGCAGGGTGGGGGCTCTTAGGCTTCTGGAGGGACTACGCCTAGGCCCAGAGAGGGTCTCGGTGGGCGTGCATGGGGCCCCATGGCCCGGCAGGGACCTGGGGTGGGAAACCTCACCCAGGTCTCCCCACAAGGCTCAGTAGACCGCCCTGGTCAAGGCCCTGGTCTCATTGGTTGATGTGAAGAGATCCAGCATGACCTGAATGGCAGGGTCACAGCCACAGTGGCACCATATGCCTTGCAGAAGCACACGATAGTATTGGTGGGTCTTGGATGTGGCCTGTGTTGACCCAGGGCAGGGGTCACTGCTGGAACCCACTGGCCCCAGAATCCCTCACTGCTAGTCAGTTCCCACATCTCGTTCAGAACCTGAGGACAAGCTTGTTGGGGGCCAGGATGATGACAAGGTCACAGAAGCAATGCTTTGTCAAAACTGAAGTCATTATCTGAGCAAACCCACAAATCAGTCCAGCAACTCGAGTGGCAGCGTCCCATGGCTCCCATCCTGGCTGTGCTCCACCCCAACCCCAAGAAAATCAGAAAGCCTCCCAGAAAGAGGAAGGTGGGAAGCTATTCTTAGATCCAATGGTGGCAAGCTTCACTCTGCTCACCCCACAGCATCCAGCTGAGCAGGTCCACACCCTCCTGCCCAGAGCCCCCACCCGGAGACCCCCTGTACCTGTGCACTCCTCTCAGAGACGCTGACCAGGCCTCAGGACACAGGCGCCAGGTGGCCACTCCCAGCCCAGCTCAGTGCTGGCTGGCCCTCGGGTCTGTCTCCAACTGGCCAGGACAGGCAGGGGCCGCCCACAGCCGACTGACTGCTTAATGCTGCCACCACCTCCTGCTTCCTGCCCCACTTCCTCACCACGCCTGGGGGCCAGCAACAGAGGCAGGCCCAGTGCGGCTGCCTGGACGCCCTGGGCAGTTGATCATTAGCTCCTTCCTGGACTGGGGCCAGGCCCTTCCTGGTTGGAGGAGGCTTGGCACCCAGGCCCCTGCTTACACTGGGATTGGGGAAGTCCACCAGCTGCTGCCTGTTCCCTTTCCCCTTCTGCAGACACGTGTATGACACACAGACATAGCACTCAAAACCTCACAGGTGCTGCTCCTCACTTGGCCTACGGTTCTTCCGTGCCCACTGGCCATTGTCTGGGGGAACAGAGGTGCCTCCTTCTTTTCCTTGGCCTGCAAGCACTCCTACCTAGGAGCTTGGCCTGCAGGCTGGCTTTACCTCTTCACCTTCTTGCCAGCTGGGAGCAGCACTGTCTCTAGCAGTCCAGGTTGAGGCCAGGCAGGGAATCTTGGCCCTGCTCTCTGAGGAAGCCCAGGCTGGATCTCACGTGGGTACAGACAAGAAGCAGGAACTGAACTGGGTCGGCTTCTGCTCTTATGTCCTTACCATACTGCCCATGGGATGAGGCTGGCCTATCTTCCACACTCGCTGCGTGCCCCTAGATACATCCTCCTTTTCCCTGGCTCCTTGCCTGCCTCCTCCCCCACCCCGTCCCCGGTCTGTGTAGGGCCCAATGGGTGGGTGCCCTGGGCTCCTGCCATCCACACCTCAAACCTCTCTCTAGAGAATGCAGACTCCAGGGATGCTTGCCCTCCCCTGAGGCTGTTTTTCTGGAAGCCATATTGAGAGAGACTTTGGACAGTCTCCACACCCACACAAGGGTCTGGAGGCATTTCCTGTCCCGGCCATTGTCCCCAGCTGCAGCTCAAAACCCTGTATCCTGTTTGTCTCTGAACCTGTGTTTTTGGCCCACACCCAGAGGGATTTTTCAAGAGCTTCCCCCACTGTGCTTAGGGTACCTCACAGCCACCCAATAACCCACTGGCCTTCCAAAGGAAGAAGCAGGTGCCTTCTGGACCTGGGGCTTTCCAGGCAGGGCTCCAAGGGCTGCAGGATGTTGGGACAAAACCACATGGCCCTGCCCGCCAGAGGTCATCTGAATCCCAGCCCTGGCATGGGTTCCACCTGTCACTTCCCTGAGCCTCAGTAGAGTCAGTACCTCTGTGCTCATTGGTACTGACTCCTGATCCAGTCATAGTAAGTACGAGCTGTCACATGCCAAGAAGTCAAGTCCCTTGAGTGGATCACCCACCTATGGTGCTCCATGACAGTCAGCCCAGCCCATCTCTCCTGCAGACCCCATTGGGATGGTCGGCAAAGGAGCTTAACAGATGCTGCACTGCCTCAGTCATGCAGGGCTTCAGCCAACCACACCAAAGCCAGTGGTCCTCACTGTCCCTCACTGCCTTGGTTTCTCTATGTGTCCATGGAGCAGTGAGAGGGCAGTAGGGCCATTCCCCAGGATACTAAGGAGGCAAGTCCTGTCCAGAGAGGCTGGGGATTCCAGGTAGCTAAAAGGTGGAGGTCCTGCTGGCTCTTTGCCCATGTCACTGGGGCCACCCGGTGCTACCGAGTTACATTAGGCACAGTGGTGGGTACCAGTTAGCAGGATGAAGGGATGCTGTAGAGTCCTTGTCTTCTCACTGGTCCCTACTCCAACACCACCCCCTGCACCCCCGCCCCATCCTTCCCTGCTCCTGAGAAAGAGGCCACAGGACAACAGAGCTGACTTTAAGCCACCAAAGAAGGCTTTCTGTATTAGGCTGCTCAGGGGTCCAGGCAGATGAAGCCAGAGGGACACAGTAGCCAAAGCACAAGCCTGGGCACGACCACCAGCGCCAACTGGACTTCTCCTGTGACTGTAGCTACAGGGCAGGACACAGCCAGGACAGGGAACAGAGCTGTCCCAGAAGGCTGCACTGCCATCCCCCAGGATGCTGAGGCTCAGGAAGGGGATGGAGAAAGGTCCCTGGCATGGACTCTCTGAGGGGCCATGGGCTGTGAGCTGGCCACTGGTGCCCCTGGGTCTCCTCCAACACATGCTTCTGCTCCCATCCACCCCTTCCTGGTGCTGAAGGCTCCCTTGGAGGTGAATGTGCCATGCTGGGCATACAGAGATGAGCCTAAGCCCCTCCTCACTCCTCCCTGTGGGAAAGTCCACATCCCCCCCCCACCCACAGGACACATCCGTGCCATGGAGCCCCCAGTCAAGCCCCCACCAATCCTCTCTTCGAAGGTCCTCTGGGGCCCTCACTACCCTGAATCAGCCCAGGTGGACCCTGCCCTTGGGGCAGAGACTCCTTCCTGGGACAGAACAGTGAATGCTAACAGGGTCAGATAACTGAGCAGCCGAGCAGAGGCTCCCATTCAGCCCTGGGATGCTGGCACCCTGACTTACTCCTGCTGCTTGGGGGACAACTCTTATTTTTGTAGTTCCCTGGGGCAAATGGAGATGGCGGCTGTCATGTGAAGATGAAAAGCAGTTTCTAATTTCAATGCGTTTTAAGTCCTCAGGGACAGTGATAAGTTACATTCTCCCAGAGTCTCAGGCTGGCGACAAGTCTGACCTTCCCCTTGTACCGGGGAAGGTCCCCACACAACCTGCCTCACTCGTATCCCCACTTTGTTGGAGACTTCAATCTCTGCCTCAGTTCTTTGGGATTTGGAGCTACTCCTGCCTCTTGTGGTGGTGGCCCCATCATCCCAGCTCTGCCCCCTGGGTCTCTGCTCCCCAGGGCTCACAGGCAATGGAAAACCAGGATGCCACAGCTAGCTCAGGCAGTGACAGAGGGAAGCCAAAGTGGAGAGAGAGGAGTGCAAAATCTAGAAAGGCTTCCCAGCAGTGGAGGTACCTGGGTTGAATCTTGGCAGGAAAGAGCCAGGCAAAGAAAGGGTATAAGGGGAATCCTGGGGGCAGGGAGCTCAGAGGGACGCTTAAGCCAAGCTGTAGCACAGACAGCTTCATCCTACACAGAGGACTTAGCCTCTGTAGCCACTCAGGCCCCTGGACACGGGCAGCCAAGGAGAGGCCCAGTGCCCTTGTCCTGGGGTTAATCTACAACAGACCAGGAACAGTGAGGCTCAGGAATGCAGAGGCAGGGGAGCATGACAGCAGCAGGCGCCTGTGTCTCACCACCAGTCTTGTGCTGTGGACATGGCACGCGTGTGTCTCTGAGGTCATTCTAGATCACGTGAAGAACCGGAGAGAAGAGGTGTGTGTCTGTCACAGCCCTGCCATCCCTGTGTGGTAGTAGTCAGCAGGTGGGCGTGGCTGGGCCGGTGCAACTTTACATAGCAGGGGCTGGGCTTGGCCTGCAGGTGCCGTTTGTGCCCTAGAGATAGCGGGAGGCCCCTCGGGGTTACCCTGGCCGACAGTGTTATGAGTGACTCACATGGAGAGGTCCCTGCAACCCTGGCATTGAGCACACAAAGGCTGGAAGGAAAGGAAAAACATCTAGAAAGCAGGCTAAGGCCAGGACAGTCCCTGGAGGAGTCTGGGATGGGCATTAATGACAACAGCTGAGACAGGCTTGTGCTGGGCACTCAGATGTGACAAGTGAGCATGAGTCTCCTTCTCAGCTCCACGCTGTCTCTGAAGCAGCTGAGTAGTTGACACTCATACATCAAGTCATCAGCCCTGGTTGGAGAGATGAGCTCCAGACAAAGAAAGCTGGCCACAGGTGACAATTGGCGCCATTTGGGCTTACAGATGGGGAAACTGAGGCTTGGGAAGGGACCAACTTCACCTGTGTGCACAGGGAGAAAGTTCCCATGGTCTTCATGGCCCTTTCACTATAAAGGGGACACCTGGAGATTGTCCCCCCTCCAAGGCAGGCACAGCCTGAGACTTCCACCACCCCTGCCCCATTCTAGCGCTCCCATTCTATTTCCTGCCCTGTAATTCCTGGTCTGTGAAATACACGGCTGAATACAGTGTTTTTAGAATGACAAAGACACCACCACACACCTTCCAAGACTCAGGCACACCTGACCCCTATCCAGACCTAAGGGCAGGCACGGCAGGAATGCGTCCTGAGATTCCTCACTGATGGAGTCCTCCTCGTCCCTCCTCATCCCTCCAGGACAGTGTCATAAGCCACTAGCTGCAGCAGCACATGGCTGGCCCTGGAGGCCAGCGCGGTGCATCAACACACAGAAAACACTAGAACAGAGTCTGCTCTGCAGGTGCGGGTCTGTTTGTTATTTCTGGCCTTGGTAGCTAAAACCAGCCCTGATCAAAGATGTGCAGCGCCTTATATCCCAGATCTCAGGAACTGCTTTTGAAAAACAAGGACGTGGAAAGCAAACAGGCTTCCCAGATGACCGACAGCCATCCAGGCCAGATGGATACCCATGCCACCAGGTCAGAGGCCTGCAGGAAGCTGTCAGCAGTTCACGAGCCTCTGCTAGACTGAAGACGCCTGCTCCTCCCTGGCCGGAAAGGGGTCCCTCTGCATCCGGCCAAACCTCAGGCAACACGGGCCAGTGGTGTGTCCGGCTTTGTCAGGACGGGCGTCACCCTCCAGCTGGGAAATGACTGGCTCTGAGCTAGCAGGTCCACAATCACGCCTCCTCCTTTGGGCAAGCCCGGCCCATGGGCGAGGGCCTCGTGGTATGTGTGACAGAGACTCCCAGAACAGCACTCCTCATCTCCAGCTGTTTCCACCGGCAGAGCACACAGCAGAGGGACGCTGTCCTATCCCGGATCCACCCCGTGTGTGGGTTCTCACTCCCCAGAGCCCCAGCATTCCTGTGAGACCCTGGCTGGAATTCCTGACATTCCCTAGAGCCCAGTCATCCTAGCGGTTGGTCGGTCTTGACCTTGGGTGGTGCAAACACTAGCCTAACCCAGGTACACCACTCCCCAAACACCTCCCTGGAGTGAGGTTCTTCCAGCCAAGATCCATAGCCCTG